CCCTGGCAGGGGTCAGGAACCCCCCTGGACAGAGCCCCCAGAGACACTGGCCGTGATCTCTGCCCATGGAAAAGAGTTTTCAATCTTACAGGATGAATTACAAGCTCTGAGTGTTTGACATAAGTAATAATTAAGCGTGGCACAGGTGCAAAAGTAAAATTTTAGGATTCTGGATAAGGGTTCAAAGGGGACAAGATGGAGGAAATTGGGTGTGTCTTGTCCTTTTTCTCCTTCTTCATGCCCTCCATGTTTCACTGTGGTGTTGGCATTTTTCTGTTGGTTCAGGCTGGGGACACACTGTCCAACGTAGGTGACAGATATTGGCACGTTATTGTAAATCCAGCACAGGTAGTTTGTGGTATTTAATGTTTGTACCATCCCACTGAGGGCAGAGCCCCACACGCTGCCCTGCAGGACAGAGCTGCGGCAGGGCAGCAGAACATGTTAGAGATAAACAGAATAAACAACCTTGAAACCAGCACAGACCAATTATGGCTTCTGCTTTGGCAGCGGGGCAGAAAACAGAGACTTTCTACAATCTCAGAATCATCAATACCTCAGATTCTGACAGGGAACCTTCCTGATTAAATTCTGGAGCTGTGATGTCCCTGTCCCAGCCCCTCTGATGCAGAGTTTGGAGTGATCCTAAGCAGGCTCCTGGCAGGACATTTCCATCAGGCACTCAGGAGTTGGAGGGAGGAAAGGCCCATGAGGTCACAGGCTCCATTCCCCAGCCAGGCTGTCCCCAGGGCTTGTCCAGCCCTGTTATTTCAGGTGCCAGCCAGTGCCACGTCCAGGGGAAATGACTCAGCCTGACAGACCCTGCTAGCAGCTCTCCAAGGCCCCAGTTTTTGGCTGTTTAATACAATTTTCCCTCATTTTCCTCTTTTGGGGAGAACGTAAAGCTCAGTGGAAGTTTCACACATTGAAATGAGCCAAAGGAGAATATGGGTGGTCACTTTGCTGTGTCTGCAGCTGGGGGTGCCCCTCAGGGAACACCTTCCTCCAGGATGGGATGGTAGAGAAAAAACCCCTCTGATTCCTGAGAGCACTAATGGGCCTTAATGACCCCAACCAGCCTCACCTGGGACCCCCCAGCTCATCCCAGCAGCCCCATTTAAGCTCAGCCCTGTGCCCTCAGCCCTGTCTTGAGCTCTGGTGGGGATCTTTGCCTCCTGGATGGGCCATGGACCTTCCCTGGCTGGAGTCTCTCTCCTTGTCCTTTTGCTCTCTGTCCCATCTCTGCCCTTGGACGGACTTCACCCCTCACTGCAGCCTGGTTTCCATACCAGCTGCTGTCTGTGCTTCCCTTTAGCACTGCCTGTGCTCCAGGAGGGATCTGCACCTGATCCCTGACTGCCTGGGGCTGCCTGTGGAGCATCTCCCCAGGGGCTGGCACTGCCTGGGCTGTTCCCCCTTGGAATCTGTGCCTGTTAACAAGGCCCTGCGTGTCCCAGCTCCTGGCAGCAGCTGCTCCCTCCCAGCTTCTCCCCCTGACTGCCCCTGCACCAGTCTCCCTGGCATGCCTGGGAAGATTCTTGAGCTGCTTTTAGGAGCAAGTTGGATTTGGCAGCTGCAGCTGCACTCCAGGAGTTTCCTTCCCAGTGCAGGAATAGCCATTCTGGAGGTGTTAGGGCAGAGGTTGAATAGCAGAGGGGTTGGGCTGGGGTGCTGATGTGTTCTGTGGGCAGTGGGAAGGACAAGGAGAGCCCAAGGTGAGCACAGCAGGGCTGTGAGCTCTGTTTTGGGGCCCAGGATGGAGGTTGGGGGGTGCTGGGGGTGCAGGATGCTCAGCAGGGGTACAAAGAGTGTTTGTGAGCAGAGCTACTCCCTGATGGCCTCTGCAAGGAGAAGGGAAGCCTGGCTGTGGGGGTAAAGCAACTTAGCCCCGGGAATGCTGAAAACTCCAGAGAAAGTGGGATTTTTGTAAAGGAAACAGAGAATTCCTGTAGCAGATGTACAGCCTGGGCTGTTCCTGCCTCTGGCTGCTGCAGCTACTGCACTCAGCAGCCTCAGCATCCCCTGCCTGGGATGAGTGTGCTCCCAGGAAGGTGTGACCCTGCTCTCCCCTGCTCTCTGGGCTGGTGACAGCCCCTGCAGCTGGGAATCTCTTCCCAGGAATTCCCTGTCCTTGGGAAGCAGCCTGTGTGCTCCCAGAGCTCAGGGCAAAGGGAGACAATCGCCCTGCTTGGAAATATCCAGCAAATCCGTGATGTTCTCGTAGGAGCCACGAACGCAGCTGTGCCAGGAGGGAGAGGTTAACCCTGGGGAGAAGCAGCAAGGAAAGCCTTTGGTGTGAGGCTGGCTGAGCCCTGAATCAGTGCCCTGAACAGCCCCATTGTGCAGCAGCTCCTGCCCCAGCACTGCGGGGCAGTGAGCTCAGAGAGTGCAGGAACCTACTCTTGGAATCCTGGTACAGTTTGGGTTGGAAGGGACCTTAAAATCCATCCCATTCTACTCCTGCCATGGCAGAGACAACCCCCACTGTCCCAGGTGCTCCCAGCCCTGTCCAGCCTGGCCTTGGGCACTGCCAGGGATCCAGGGGCAGCCACAGCTGCTCTGGGCACCTGTGCCAGGGTTTAACCAGCCTCACTGTAAAAAAAAAAAAAAAAAAAAACTTACCTCAAATCTAAATTGATCTTTTAGTTTAAAACCACCCCCCCTCTGTTCCCTGCCATCAGAGCCTAACCAGGGAGTGATGCCCTGATGCCCTTCCCAGGGAATATTCCCTGTGTGTTCATTCCAGGGCTGTTCTGATGCCTCAGGTTTCAGCTTTTATATTTTCACATTCTGTGCTGCTTTAGTCTGTGGGTCTGGGCTCCATCTGAGGGGATGGTGAGCTCTGCACAGAGCAGGGAGACAAAACAATTCCTGCTCCAGCTGGGCACCAAGGACAAATGATCCAAATCTCAGCCCCAGGAGCACAAACACCGTGGGCTGGAGAGAGAAAAACAAGCAGGATGGGACTGCCTGGGCTAAAGCTGGAATGGGACAATGAACTCCAAGGTGCCAATGGAGCAGAACTGATCCCAGGGAGAGCCCCGGGGAGCGCTCGTGCATTTTGGGACCATTTTGGTTCATTTGGGTGCAGCCCTGGCTGGGCTCTGGTGCTGCCCAAGGTGGATCCATGGAGGAGATCCTTTGAATAAATCCCTGATTTATTCTTTAGCTCTGTGCAGCCTCTGTTCCAGGGCAGCCCTCCCAAGGCATCAATTCCAGCTGCAGCAGATGTGGGAATCACATCCCTGACAGGATCCACTGAGCTCTCAGTGCCTGTGATCTTCAGCAAAGCTCGACCCTGGTGGGGGCTGCAGCCCCTGGAGATGGAATTTTGGAGGTCCTGGCACATCCATTGATGCCAGCAGTGAGGGGATCACTCCCAAAAACGCTTGGGACTGAGAGGGACAAACACTCCTGATAGTTTTTTCTCTGGGAGCTCCTTGGTCTTGGATTAATTCCCATGCTGTGCTGATAAACTCTGCTGGCTCTGCCTCTGGGGGTTTTTTGTTGGTCAGCGCTCCCAGGGGCTCAACCCTGCACCCTCTGGCTTGCTCACAGATTTTTTTTGGTGTTCCTTCTGCCAAAAGCTGCTGCACCTTCATTTTACAGAGCTTTAGAGGTTGCCTGAAAACCAGTGGATGCAGTGCCCGTGTGGGGAGCTGGGTAAATCCCAGGTGAAGTCACAAATCCCCACAAAAAGCTCATCTCCTCCATTCCTGCCCCTCTTTCCCATCACAGAGCTCTTTTCCGTGCAAAATCTTCCAAGGAGGTGGTGTCAGGAGTGACCCACGAGTGTCTGAAGCAGATCAAAGCTGCTTTCTGCTTGATTGATTTGTTATTTTGCCTCTCTGGTGTGTGGATATCTCCTGGCAGGTCGCAGCGTGCCCGGGGCTGTTTGTCTGCCCTCAAATCAATCTCACAGCTCATCCACAGCGGGAATTCCAGGCAGTGAAGGGGCTGGATGCTTCCCAAGCCATGGCAGATGCTCATGCAGATGGTGCTGGCACAATTCCCACTGACAAATCATCGAGTGGGATTGTCCAGACCCTCCCAGGAAAGGGACTGTGGGCTCTGGAGTGGTCCTGCAGGGCTGGCCCAAGGGTGCTGATCTGTCCCTTGTCCCCACTCCGTGCTGGTGGCAGAGTTGTTGCCACGCTGGGGGGATCTGATTTTAGATGTCTGAGGTCTGCAAGTCTTTGCTAATGGATAGGAAGAAGAAACCTTGAGGTTTAAAACACATTTTTCCTCAGGTATTCCTGTAACTCAAAGATTCTTTAGTTAAAGATGCACTTGGGAAGAGAAAGTCTGTTCACCAAGGGAGTGAAAAGCTTCTGATGGTGATGCCAAACAGCCCAGGGCAGGGGCTCTCCCCTGTTCAAACCATCTCAAAAGTTCACAGCACATTCTGAGGGTGGATCCTTTCCTTCCTGGGAATTCCCCCAGGAATTCCTGACCCTGTGATAGGGCTGAACCCGGCTTTGGGGGGTGTCCCCACCCTCTGCTCAGGACATGCTGAGGGACACAGTAATTTCTTCCCACTCCTTGGTCCAATTCTTTATTTACAGCATCAACAAGGGAGTTTGGGAAAGGATGAGCAGGATCCCTGTACCCAGCTGCTGCAGGACTTGTGGTTTGGGGCATTTGTGTCCCAGGCTCTGCTTTACAGCCCTGAGCATCCCAACTCCGTGGTTGTGAGGGTACCACCACAGCTGGGGAAGGAATGGCCCTTCCTACCTTTGGGACAGTGGCCTCAAAACTCGTATTGTGGTTCAAAAATCTCACCTGGCTGCTTGTGAAGTTGTCTGAATGGTTTTTGGGATCTGAGTCTGCTGAATTTGTGCACTGGATTTTAATTTTCCCAAACTGACACTCTTCTTCCTGCAGGTTTTATCTGTTGTCCAATTTGTCATGTTTTCTCTCGCTGGAGAATGAACAGAGCAGAGCCCTGTAGTGGAGGTTTCTCAGCCTCCTGAGCATCTCTCTCTTCTCCCCCAACGCAGATGAGGTGAACCTGCTGGACAAAATCATTCTCCATGCCCAGGACCTCAGCAATGTTTCCTTTGGCTACGACCACAGCAAGTGCAGGATCCTGGAGATCGGGCAGTACGCGACCCTCAACATCCCCACCAGAGAGGCCTTTGGGGACAGGTAACCTCCCTGCAGGGCTGGGAATGGGCTGCTGGGGCTCAAAAATCATCTAAGGTGTGGCTGTTGGCTTGAGGGGTGTCGGAATCTGAGGTATTGATGATTCTGAGATTGTAGAAAGTCTCTGTCTTTCAGCCCCGCTGCCAAAGAAGAAGCCATAATTGGTCTGTGCTGGTTTCAAGGTTGTTTATTCTGTTTATCTCTAACATGTTCTGCTGCCCTGCCGCAGCTCTGTCCTGCAGGGCAGCGTGTGGGGCTCTGCCCTCAGTGGGATGGTACAAACATTAAATACCACAAACTACCTGTGCTGGATTTACAATAACGTGCCAATATCTGTCACCTACGTTGAACAGTGTGTCCCCAGCCTGAACCAACAGAAAAATGCCAACACCACAGTGAAACATGGAGGGCATGAAGAAGGAGAAAAAGGACAAGACACACCCAATTTCCTCCATCTTGTCCCCTTTGGACCCCTAATCTAGAAACCTAAAATTTTACTTTGGCACCCATGCCACACTTAATTATTACTCATATCAAACACTCAGAGCCTGTAATTCATCCTGTAGGATTGAAAACTCTTTTCCATGGGCAGAGATCACAGACAGTGTCTCTGGGGGCTCCGTCCAGGGGGGTTCCTGACCCCTGCCAGGGTCCCAGACCTGCCAGGGCAGCCAGAGGGAAGCTCTGGATTCCCACAGAGGGGCTCCTTGGAGAGCCCATTCCATGATGACAGGGAGATAACTCAGACACTCTGCGCTCTGAGCTCAGGGCTTCCTTAGTTTCTTACATTTTAGAATAGTTTGTCCTGTCCCCAGTAGTGTCCAAGGCCAGGTTGGATCGGGCTTGGAGCAGCCTGGGACAGTGGAAAGTGTCCCTGCCATGGCAGGGGGTGGGATGGGATGAGCTTGAAGGTTTCCTCCAACCCAAATCATTCATGGGTGCAGGAAGGACACCTTGGCATGGCCCCATCACCCCGTTCTGAGGTTGTGTGGGCAGTGCTAATTTAGGCCTGGCTGCTTCTCTTTGAACCTCTCAACTGGAACAATTGTTGGCCTTTTTTTCCCCTTTTTTTTTTTTTCCTTCCCACTCATTCATTTGTGCCGTGCCTGGAATTTTTTTATCCGAAGATCTCAGTTGATGGTGACACAGCAGCAGCTGCACAATGGCACGTGTCCCCTCTTTCCACCAGGTTTGCAGACGAGCTGAGCGTGCTGCTGAAGCTCAGGTACTCCCTGAAGGAGGACACCAGCCTGGTGACCATCCTCAGCCACCGCAGCCACGTGCTCTTCCAGATCAGGGTTAACCCCTACGCCCTGGTCTTTGTCACCACGAGGAGGAGACACTACGAGTAAGTCCCAGCCCAGGCAATGTTTTCCTGCCTTTCTTTCCTTCCTTTTCTCCTCCCGAGGCCAAGGGTCAGGCTTTCCCTCTCTGGTGAGCTCTGGGCAGTGCTGAGCTCTCCTCAGCTGAAGGAAGGTGACGTCCCTCAGACCTGGCATGGGTTGTCTCTGCCAAAATGTTGCAGCTCTGAGAAACAAAGCAAGGAACAAAAAAGCTCAGATAAATCAAGACCCAAACCCCAGTCGTTTTTTAGATGCCTCAAGTAGTTGCAGACATCCCCAAATCCATGGGAAACAAGTGATGGTGGTGTAACAATTCTCGGATTGTTCCTCGTGTCTGCACTGAGGATGGATACGTGAGGGACCTGGGAGCTGCTAAGGGGTGAAGCCTGCTCCGGGGTCAGGTGTGGGATGAAGTTTCCTGCTGTGCCTCCTCCCTTTCCCTCAGGTTCCCAGTGTCCTTCCTGGGCGATGGGCACTGGCACCAGGTGGCTCTCAGCATCTCCCTGGAGAGGCTGGAGCTGCACGTGGACTGCCGGCTGGTGGACAGAGTGAGCTGGTCCAACTATTTTGGGATGGGAGTGAACACCGAGGGGCTGATCATCATTGGAGGCATCATCGAGTCCTTCGAGATCCCCTTTAAGGTGAGAGCTGGGCAGGGTCCGCTCTACCTGTGTGAATGAGGCTGCAGGTTCCCTCTGATGGAATCCTTTTCCATCACCTTCTCTTCCCAAAACAACATTTATTTTCATGCTTGGGCAGGATAAGCTAAGCCAAGGCTTGGAATTGTGCAGAGAGCTTGGGTTTGGGTCAGGGCAGCACAAGGGGCAGCGTCAGGTCACCTCTGGGCTTGATTTCCACTCATCCTCTGGTGTTGGCCATGGCTTGGACCATGCAGAGAAGTCTCTGTGCAGTCAGCATGGAAAGATCTGGTTGGGGAAGTGTCTCCAATGGCTTCAAACTTCCAAAGGGCGAGGATACATGGGATATGGGGAAGGAATTGTTCCCTGTGAGGGTGGGCAGGCCCTGGCACAGGTGCCCAGAGCAGCTGTGGCTGCCCCTGGATCCCTGGCAGTGCCCAGGGCCAGGCTGGAGCAGCGTGGGACTGTGAGGGGTGTCCCTGCCCGTGGCATTTTGCATGGAACGCCTGAAGCTGGAGAGGGAACGTTCATTGCCCAAACCATCCTGTAAAGGAACCCCTGGCTATGAGAAGCTGGAGATGACCTCCCCTGCAGGCCCTTCCAGACCTTTCCCTCTCCTCTGGAAGAAGCAGGAGCACAAACTCTGGTTTCTGTCTCTTCCAGGGCGCTCTCCAGCAGCTGACCTTCGTGATGGGAGACCCAGCAGCTGCTGCTGAGCAGTGCCACAGCTACAAGTCCACCTGCCCAGGCTCCTCCAGCCTCCACAGGGCCCCGTGGGAGCTCTCAACAGCCTGGCCAGAGGTGTGGCTGGGGACAGCTGGCAAATTTAGGGACTGCTGGGCCAAGCTTTTCCTCGGTGTCACACGATTCCAAGGAAAAGCCCAACCTAGGGTGTTGCCTGGACTTGCTGGGATCTCCAGTTTGGGAGGGGGTATGAGGAGGTGGGGTGGTTCTTTTCCATCCCTTCGAGTCACAGATGGGTTTGGTGCCAAGGAGAGTGAGTTAAAGGGAGAGTTTGGGATCCAGGGAAAGCCTGGGGGTGGCTATGACTGAATGTGCTCGTGTGAGTGGCACAGGAAGGCTTTGAGCAATGCTGCAGCTGGGGCTGTGCTTCTGAGAGGAGGTGCAAGCTGTCCTTGGGAATTGGACAGCACTCTGGAATTCCTGCCCACTCCCAGCAGCATTGCATCCTTTGGTACTTCATCCTTCCACAAGCTGTCCCTCAGTTCTGCCAGCATTGCTGGAAAATGGAAATTTGGGGGACTTTCAACAACCATATCTGTGTCCAAAAGCCCAGATCACATCATAACCCCCCCAAAACATGAAACACCCAGGCTTTCCTCAGGAGCTGGAGCTGGCCCAGGGAAATTCCTCACATTTTATGCCAGGTACCTCTGCAGGAAGTGCTTCATAGGAGCCTGGAAAAAGCTGGGGAGAGGCAAGTGCTGGATGTCAGCACCTGGCACGAGCCTCCCCCTGGTGTGTAACCCATGTCTGTGGGCTGGGGAGGAGCTGGGACAGCTGCTGGGAAAGGGCAGTGCCAAGGGTGTGCCACGGGGCACCTGCCCTGTCTGGCTCCTGGTTCCTTTGGGATGCTGGAGCCAGCACGTCCAGGCAGGGAACAGGGCGGGGTGGTGGCACCTGGGACAGCCCTGCAGTGGCTGCTGCACTCCCAGGGCTGCTTTGGTTTGTGCTGGTTGTTTGGAGAGGAGGATTTGTGGGAAAGCCCTGCTGATGGGGGATTGAGGAGCTGGCAGTGTGGAGCAGGCTGAGTCTAACACTGAGCTGCTTCCCTCCTGCTCTGGGGATGACAGGAGTGGTCACTGTAACCCCAAGTGGCCAGTGCAGCCCCTGGTCATCCCAAAATGAAACCTCCATTGTCCCGAGCTCCAGAGGCCTGGAGCTATTCCATGAATGGCTCTGGGGTCTCACCCATCAAGCAGAAAATTTCACTTTAAGCATCACTTCAAGGAAGTTGCCTGCAGGTTACCCCTGGGATAATTCTGCCCCACATCCCCCCAGTTCCCATCCCTTGCCGGCCCTCCCCAGGACTGAGGAGCTTCCAGATGAACAGAAACTGCAAAAAACCCACCAAACTCTTGAGAGCTTTGATCAGAAGCCATTCCCTGATGTTGCTGGGAAGGATTGGCTCCCACTGTGCATTCCCTGGATGTTTCCTGTGCCAGCAGAAATAGCTCCTCAGTCCTGGAGCCAACAACAAACACATGCTGAAGTCAGTGCTGGTCCTTGGGCAGTGACGTTTTTCCTCTTGTCTCTCTCCAACTCTCCAGGTGCCAAAGGAAACCAATGAAATCCAGGATTCATCTACTCAGGTATGGCTCCTGCCCTGTCCTGCCTCGTGTCCCTGTGCTGTCACCCCCAGGCTTTCTCCTGGGGACAGGAGTTGCTCTAATAAGCAATAAGGCAAAGCTGAAATACCCAGACAATGCCACTATAATTATGATTTTCTTGGCTGTTTTTGTTAATTTCTTTGCTGCCACCTCTCTCTTTAATGGTTTGAACGTTCCTTGCCGTGTCCCAGACCTGGTGGAGGTCATGGTGAGTGCTCAGGTGACCTTCCTGATCGTTTGCAGAGAGCCAGAGGGGAGGTGGCGGGGCAGGGAATGAGGTGGATCAGCCATGGGGATTTGTGGATCTGCCTGGGAGCTGAGCCAGGCTGGATTAGCCCGGAAGGAAGGAGGTGAGGTCAGCAGGGGGGCAGGATTTGGGATAAAGCAGGATGCCCACTGCTCCTGCCCACAGTGGGATGTGCTGCCTGCCTGGGGAGGCGCCCCCAAGATGTCCCTGCTGTTCCTGAGGAGCTGGGAAGGGCTGGAGCTCTCTGTGGAGGGGGTGGTTGTGGTTTTGGGGCCCTCTTGGTGTGGCTTCCTGGGATCTGGTGCTGGGAGAGGGATGGATGCCCCCCAGTCCCACTGGAGCTCCGGTGCTGAGCTCTTTGGTGGAGCTGCTGTCCCCCAGCTGGAGCTGGGAGCGTGTCCCCAGCTCTTGTGCATTGTGCTGGGGACATGAGGGAGTGCTCTGACAGAGGCTGGCTTCATGTTCCTGCTTTATTCCTGCTTTATTTGGGGTTTTTAGCCAAGCTTTGCTGTTCAAGTCCACGAAAACACAACAGCAAATGCAAATTGAGATTTGTGTGTGTGTGACTGAGATAGATTTGTGTGTGTGTGACTGAGCAGTTCAAGTTCTTCATTCCCCTCCTGGCTGCTGTTAACTCTTTAGGGACAGGCTCTCTTCTCTCAGCTGGCTTTCACTGCCTGGCTACACCTGCATAATTCCAAACTGGACTTGGCCAAGTGGCCTTTGGCAGCTCTGCTCCGGGCTCAGCAGCTCAGGGGGGACGTGCTGTGGGTTTAGAATGAACTGAGGTGGCAAAATCACCTTTCCTGGGCACTTATGGAAGGTGGGCTCTGCCATCCTGCTGGATCCTGTTTGGGGTGTGATTCCCACCTGGGGGTTCTTCCAGGCCCTGGCAAGGCATTGCCATAACAAGGAAATTGGTGAAATTCATGGGTCTGCAGGGGAAAACGAACAATATTCCGGATTTGGGACAAGTTTATTTTTCAAGCACTTAATAAGGAGCAGAGACGCCTTGGAATATTTGGCGTTAAGATTTATTAGGAATAAAAAAGGAGTTTGGCAGTGATGAGGAGCAGCCCAGCTCTGCTGCAGGCACAGGCCACAGCTCTGCTTCCTAGTTCCTTTGTTCATTTAGAAGTAAATTAATACATTGGTGAATTCCTTAATTGTTAATTAGAGCTAAATAATTATGGAGGCTCAGGGTGATGGCAGAGGAAGAGGTAATGGGGGAAGGCAATAGATGGGTTTGTTACTGGCAGTGATACCTGAATTGCAGCCCACTCCTTTTGGCAATTTTTTTTTTGAGGAATAAATTGCCATTTCTGAGCAATCTCTGGGGCATGGATGGTGTTGAGCCACTTCTGCTGTATTTTGTTTTCTCTTAGACTGCCTGTCCTAAACGTGACAGGAGGGCTGAGCTGGCTCCTGAACTGAATGGCTTTTCCAAGGCAGCTTAACCTGGGATCCTAAAGGCATTCACCACACAGTCAGAGCTTACATCCCACGGTTTAATGTTCTGGGCAGTCCAACTAGTTGGGAAATTCCTTCTTGATTTAAAAATGCTGTGAAAGCTCTGTGGAAACCCTTGGTTGGGTTGTGGCACTTCTGTTCTCTGGTGCTTAGGTTTGTCAGTGGGCACAGCTGCTATGGGAATCGCTCCTTCAGGCTCTCTCAATCCTAAAATTCCATCCTTCCTGTCCAGCCAGAGCAGCCTGGAGCCTGTGGAAATTGGGATTTGAACATACTCCTAGTGCTGGGCTTCAAAACACCCGTGACAAAAGGCCCATCCTGACTAACAAAGACAAGCCCTCATGAGGGAACTGTCCCTCCTCCATCCCACCGCTTCCAGGAGCTCTGGGGCTGCTGGTTCCTTGGATAAGGTGGGATAATACCAAATATCCCCGTGGGGAATGTGACTGGCAGCTGGAGCCCAGCTCTGTCTCCCGCTCTCAGGCCTTATCTCGAGGTGCTGTTCCTGATAGCTCTGGTACCTCAGCCCCTGCAGAGCTCACAGTCCAGTTTCTCCAGCAGGATAAGATCTGTGCATGATTTATTATCCTACAAACCCACTGTGGGATAAATGTAATGATAAATTGATTCTTTTGGTGTATTCCCTTCCCAAATCCAGCACCCAGGTGTGATATGGGCTGAAGCCCTGGGGCATGGCCCCATCCCCTCCCCAGCAACGAGGGCAGAGCAGAGGGGCTGTGCTGAGCTCCAGGAGGGGTTTATCCCCTCCAGAGCCCTGCTGTGGGTGCTGCAGCTCCTCAGGTACAACTGGCACCTGATCTGCTGCTGGCCACGGCCCATGGCATTTCCTGGCACTTATTCCTTCTTTAAATCAGTCCAACCTTGATTTTTTTTTTTTTTATTATGATGCAGCCTCTTCTAGGGGCTTGATGCTAGAAAATGCTGGAAAAACTAGTTTAAAATAGATCTTGAGTGAATCACCTTGTCCCTTTGGCTGTTGGATGGAAGAGGCTTCTATTAAAGAAAAAACCTATTTCCTGGGAGAAGACCCTGAGCTTTGAACACCGTTTTACTCAGCCTGACCCAGCTGAAAATTAGGGCAGAATGTTATGCTGGTTGTTTGAGCTGCTGAAAACAGGGATGCTCCAAGCTGGGCTTTAACCCCTTTGCCACTGGGGAGTTTTTGGAGTGTGGCACAAGCTGAAAAACCCTCCAGAGGTCCAGCAGCACTGTTATCTTTGTCAATAAAACACTCTTAGGCTCCTCAGGCAAGATACCAAGTTAGAAACTCTTTCCAAAGGCATGGCATTAATTGCATATCTGTGCTTTCTTTATTAATGAGCCCTGTATCAGTTCTGTTATTTCACTTGGGCTCAGCTTGAGGGAAGAGGTCTGTAATTACTCAAAGCTTCCCGTTTGCTTTTTTTTGCCTTTCTTTTTTTAAGTTCCATATTGGCACAACACAAAGCCTTTTCCCAGTCAGTCCCCTGGAGCTTCCCCAGCTCTCTGAGCCAAACTGAGAATTCAGTGCTCATCTTGGGGAGAGCCTGAGGTTTTAATGCTTTTGGGGTGGAATTCTTGGGCTGGGATTCAGAAATCTCTGCTCCTTGTCCCCTCTGGAATGGGAAGTATTTCGTTGTTACTTAGTTATGTCATCTGTATTTTCCAAGTGTGGACAGAACTGGGCTTCTCCAGCTCTTCCCACATGGTTGTTGTGGTTGTGTCAGTGCCACCTGGCAGGTGACAGTGGGGACCCAACCTGTGGCTGGGGCAGAGACTTCTGCCTTTATTTTCCTTCTTTAATCCAATTTTCTGCAAGTCGCAGACCCTGCCTTGCATGTCACGTGCCAATTCCTTCTTTTTTCCCTTCTGTTTTGTCATCTTTAATGGCTGCTTTCAATCTGGGTTCCTTCCCCACTTCCCAGCTGGAATTTCTGGGAGTTCAAACCCACATGCCTCACTCAACTCTCACGCTTTTGGACAGCCTCAGGGCTGTTCCAAATTTGTCCCTCTCAGCTGGTTCTCCTCTAAATTTGGCCAGTTTGGAGGAGCAAGGATGGATTCTATTGATTTTGGCTTTTAGTTGTGTTGACACAAACCAATATAATTCAGCCTTGTGCCTCAGTAATTTTTCCTTAGAGCCCCTTTTCCCCTGAGCCTTGCCAGATGGGAGTTTCCAGGGTGGACTGTTCCCATGTCAAGTGTTGAAGTTGAATTAAAACCTCCTTTCCTTCACTGTGTGGGAATTCTGGGCTCCCAGTGCCAGCTGCCAGGCCTGGATGTGGCTTCCCACTGGGATTCCCAGGCTGGCATGTCCTGTGGGGCTGTTCTGCACCAGCATCACCTCGTGGGAACCTGAACACTTCAGCTCCTCTCAGCTCGTGGCTCATTCCATTGGGGGATTCTCACCACAATTTTCCTCACCTGCTGGTTCAGTTGTGTGGAAATCTGAGCAACCTGGCCTGTGGAAGGTGTCCCTGCCCTTGGCAAGGGTGGAGTGAGATGGGATTTGAGGTCTTTTCCAACCCAAACCATTCCCTGACAACATGTGCCACATGTTGTAACTGTCCTTTGAGGAACTGGTTTTTAAATTTCTGGCTGCTGCTGCCCCTGGGGTTAATCTGCCAGTCCCATGGAGCAGAGAGGGGCTGCTGTCTTCCATTCATTTTTCACTTCAAGGTGTACAAAATGAGGCACCAAGTTGCTGTAGCTGAAACTTTCCAGTCCTGGGGATTGCAAAAATCTGTTTTAAGGAAATTACTGCTTTGGATCAAAACTAGAAAAATTGGTTGGAGGGAGAAATACAGATCAAGTTGGGAAGCTGAAATACATTGATTTATTTTTTCACCATTAAAGGTGTATTTCAAGACCTGCTTTTAATCAGAAACCCCACAAAGCACCAAAATATAACATCAAAACTGCATGGCTGCAAGGTTTAATTTCTGAAAGAAAAATTCTTTGTTTCAACTCTTTTTTATCAGCTCCCCACTTCAGATGTTTATAAAAGAATCTTTTCAAACCTAAAAGCTGAAAATTTAAAAGTGAAAATGTCCTTTTCTCCTGTATTTGGGATGGGAAGAGCTTGGACATCTCCAATGTGATGGCAGCAGAGTCAAAGCTTCAGCAGCTCCTGCTGCCGTTGGAGCTCCTCTGCCTCCCGTGGTCACCCCAAATGGGGCTTGGTTGGGGTCTCACCTGAAGGATCACCCCTTCAGGCAGGGAAATTGTTGTTTTTTCTGCTTGCTGCTCCTGCACGTTCCCCTTGGTGCTCCCAAGCCAGTGGAGCAGAGCAGAATGGTGTCAGAGTTGAGAAAGTCACAACACAAAGCAACACTGCATTTTCAGAAGGCTTCAAGCTGTTTTTATTCTACACTTTACATTTTCTACATTCTTACAAACACATTTTTTATACATTCTTACAAACTCATAACTTAACACTTTACTCATTGGTCAGGAAATACAAACCCAGTGTCATTGGAACAGGCAGTGGCAGGTTTCTCTTATTTCTCCTTCTTTCTTTCTTGGTTTCTATGTCAACAACCTCGGTAGAAAATTCTTGCAGGGGTGAACTTGGATCCTCTTCTCAAGCTTCTCTGGCTCACAGAATTCTCTGTAAAAGCTCTTGCACAGAACGGGAGCCAGGTGAAGGGCTCAGCCCACGGAATGTGGGAAGAAGGAAGGGAAGGACTCCCCAGGTTTCCTTCCCAGCCCTGCAAGGCAAGCGTGGGGCTGCATCTCCCTCTAGTGACTCCTCTCAGCTGGTTCCTCGAGCAGCTCCTCCAGCAGGAGCCACCAGGCAGGGCTGGTGCCACCAGCTCCAGGTGCCACCAGCTCCAGGTGCCACACGCTGTCCCTGTCCCCACGGAGCCTGGTGGGAGCACGGAGCGGGCTCCAGGCAGGGCTGGGGGCCATGTGGAAATGCTGCAGCTGCTCCAGGAGTATTGCAAAATATAGGTGAACCTGGGGGAAGAAATGATGATGTCTGACTCCAATTCAGAAGGCTGAATGATTTTTTTATTATAACTGTACTATAATATATTAATATACTATTTAAAGGAGATATTAAAAACTACATACCTACTCTAACTACCATGTTTAACTAACAACTTGGGACCCTCTCTGAGAGTCCAGCCCCAGGAGGGTTGGATTGGCCATCAGGCTCAAATGATCCTCACCAGAATCCAACCAAGCACTCACCCGTGGTAAACAATTCTCTAAGCATGTTCCACATGGGAAAACAAGGAGCAGAAATAGAAATGTGTCGGAATCTGAGGTATTGATGATCCCGAGATTGTCGAAAGTCTCTGTCTTTCTGCCCCGCTGCCAAAGCAGAAGCCATAATTGGTCTGTGCTGGTTTCAAGGTTGTTTATTCTGTTTATCTCTAACATGTTCTGCTGCCCTGCCGCAGCTCTGTCCTGCAGGGCAGCGTGTGGGGCTCTGCCCTCAGTGGGATGGTACAAACATTAAATACCACAAACTACCTGTGCTGGATTTACAATAACGTGCCAATATCTGTCACCTACGTTGAACAGTGTGTCCCCAGCCTGAACCAACAGAAAAATGCCAACACCACAGTGAAACATGGAGGGCATGAAGAAGGAGAAAAAGGACAAGACACACCCAATTTCCTCCATCTTGTCCCTTTTGGACCCCTAATCTAGAATCCTAAAATGTTACTTTTGCACCCATGCCACACTTAATTATTACTGATATCAAACACTCAGAGCTGGTAATTCATCCTGTAAGATTGAAAACTCTTTTCCATGGACAGAGATCACAGCCAGTGTCTCTGGGGGCTCTGTCCAGGGGGGTTCCTGACCCCTGCCAGGGTCCCAGACCTGCCAGGGCAGCCAGAGGGAAGCCCTGGATTCCCACAGAAATTATTTTCTCTTTCTTCTCTCTGTACTGCTCTATGAAAAATCCTGAAAGAAAGAATGATGTCCTTACAACACAGGAGAGCAGCTCCAGGACCTCCACACCCACCCACAAGCCCAGCCTGAGGTGCTTTCACTGGTGCTGGGTGGGATCTGGAAATGCAGGGAACTCTGAAGTTCCATTCCTTTTCCACCGTGGGTATTTGTGTGTTGAGTGTGGAGATTTCTCCCAGCGTTGCAGTTTTCCCCCCTCCAAGGGCAGTGCCTGGGCTCTGCTGGGGATTCCAGGGCTGGCAGAGCCCTTGAGACCTGCAGGGACCGTTCAAGGTGACAGCAGAGGACAGAGGGAGCCCTGTGCAAGTCACTGCCCTAAATGAAATTACTGGAAGCATCCAGGAGGCTCCTCCTGGCCTTGTGCCTGTCTCCCCTTCCCAGCCCCCGGAGGTTTGCAGCTGCTCCAGTGGGAAGTTGTGTGGTGGGGGCTCCGAGCTCCCCTCTGACCTGCTGGCACCATTCCCCCAGGAGGACACCAGGAGCCCTGGAATGTGTAGGAGCAGCAGAATCCAGAGGCTGAAGGGACACATCGATCCCTGCTGTAACTCTTCCAGTGATTGCTCTCAAGATTGGATTTCTGTCCTTAGGCTGTGGGCTCTGGGGAGAGCTCAGAGCCCTTCCAGGGCCTGAAGAGTCTCCAGGAGAGCTGGAGAGGGACTGGGGACAGGGGATGGAGGGACAGGACACAGGGAATGGCTCCCAGTGCCAGAGGGCAGGGATGGATGGGAGATTGGGAATTGGGAATTGTTCCCTGGGAGGGTGCCCAGGTGTCCCTGGTGGAAAGTGAGTTTTGGTTTGTAGCTGGGTGCAGTATCCTGCTCATTCTGGATGAACTGTCCCAGAATTTGAGGGCTCCTGCCTGGGGCTCACAAACTCTGCCCTGCATTGTTCCCCAGCGGCATTCCTACATGTGGGAAATGAGGAATTATAGGATCATAAGGTCAGAAATGACCTCCAAGGCTATTGAGTCCAGCCTGTGACCTTGTCACCCAGAGCAGAGCACTGAGTGCCACATCCAGTCATGCCCTGGACACTCCCAGGGCTGGTGACTCCACCACCTCCCTGGGCAGGCCATTGAGCAGGAAAGGAGGAAAAAAATAAATGAACCCTTCAAATTTCATTTTTTCCCTTCTCTCTTTTCAGGATTCCAGACTCACCAGTTCAGATTCGGCCCCGGGGCCACCTTGGCCATGGGAGGATGCCCAGGGCACCCTCAGCCTCCAGCCTGATGGGAGTGCCCTGGCTTCCCCCTCTGCTCACGAGCTGCCATCAGCTGAGGAGGACGAGGAGGAGGAGGAGGAGGAGGGCAGCCTTTCCATTGAGGATGAAGGCTTTGAGCTGCTGAACTCCACCTACAATAAAATCACTGGGCCGGGCAGGCCAGCACTCAGGAGAAGCTCAGGTGAGTTCCACGATTCTCCTCCTTTTCTCCAGCACAATTTCTGGGAGTCTGACAGTGCTTCATCCACCCAGCAGCGTCCATCAAACCCCCCCAAGTAGCCAAGAAGGAGCGTGGCTCTGACCCCCGGGAGGAGAACGTCACCACGGAGAAGCTGTCAGGGGACACCAGCGCTCGGCGGCAGCTCCCGCCCGGCAAACCCCACCTGGACCCCAAAGTGTCCCCACCAGCTCATCGGGGGGCTGCTCCCAAAGGAAACGTCCCCAAAGGTCCCCTGAGGGCAGGGGCAGTGCTGGGTGTCCCACAGCCTCCCCTTGGAGCGGGACAGCCCGGATTGTGGGTGGCACGTGGAGGCCAGGGCTGTGTGAAGCCGGGACCACCGGGGCTGCCGGGACCTCCTGGGCTGCCGGTGAGTGGAGCACAGGAGGGGTGGGTGGGTGGGTGGGTGGTGGGCAGAGGCTGCTGAGACAGGGGAAACAGCACAGGGAAGGCTCCTCCAGGGTGGGGAACCTTCTCCAGGATGGGGAAACCTTCTCCAGGATGGGTAAATGTTCCCCAGGGTAGAAAATGTTCTCCAGGGTGGGAGATGTTCTCCAGGGAGGGAAATGTTCTCCAGGGAGGGAAATCTTCACCAGGGAGGGAAATCTTCACCAGGGTGGGGAAACTTCCCCAGGGAGGGAAACCTTCTCCAAGATGGGGAACCTTCTCCAGGGTGGAGAACCTTCCCCAGGGTGGGAAATGTTCCCCAGGGTGGGAAATGTTCCCAAGGGTGGGGAAACTTTCTCCAGGGTGGGAAATGTTCCCCAGGGTGGCAAAACTTCCCCAGGGTGGCAAATGTTCCCCAGAGTGGGAAACCTTCCCCAGGGTGCAAAATGTTCTCCAGGATGGGGAAACCTTCTCCAGGATAGGGAAACCTTCTCCAGGATGGGAAATGTTCTCCAGAGCGGGGGAACCTTCTCCAGGATGGGGAAACCTTCTTCAGGATGGGAAATGTTCCGCAGGGTGGGAAACCTTCCGCAGGATCAGGAAACTTCCCCAGGATGGGAAACCTTCTCCAGGGTGGGGAAACCTTCTCCAGGGTGGGGAATGTTCTCCAGGGAGGGAAATGTTCCCCAGAGTGGGGAACCTTCCCCAGGATCAGGAAACTTCCCCAGAGTGGGAAACATTCCCCAGGGTGCAAAATGTTCTCCAGGATGGGGAAACCTTCTCCAGGATGGGGAAATGTTCCCCAGGGTGGGAAATGTTCTCCAGGGTGGGGGAACCTTCTCCAGGATGGGGAAACCTTCTTCAGGAATGGGAAATGTTCTCCAGGATGGGGAAACCTTCTCCAGGATGGGAAACCTTCTCCAGGGAGGGAAACCTTCTCCAGGGTGGGGAATGTTCTCCAGGGAGAGAAATGTTCCCCAGAGTGGGGAACCTTCTCTAGGGTGGTGAAACTTGCCCAGGATAGGAAACCTCCTCCAGGATAGGAAACCTTCTCCAGGGTGGGGAACCCTCCCCGTGCAGGCGCAGTGGGGCTGTGCATTGACCTTGTGAAAAGGTTTTTGATATTCCTGGCGAGTTCTTCAGAAACGTCACTGAAAACTGGAGAGAAGATGATTGCCTTGTCCTCCTTGCTCTAGAGATGGTCTCAAATCATTCAGCCATGATGTGGGTTTTTATTTCACACTGGTCCAGCCCAGAATTAGGCTGAGGGGACCAGAGGGGACCAAACCATCTCCTCCAGTCCCCACACACACCCCTGCACCCACCCACAGACCCAGCTGGCATCGTTGGCTTTGGCTTCTTCACCCCCAAAATGGTGCCAGGTTCAAAGCAGAGCACTGAGTTTATCTTTTAATAAGTTACGACTGTTTTTCAAGTCATTCAGTCATTGCAGAGGATGAAGAAAGGAAAATTTAGGGAAAAAAAAGGGAAACTTAGACTAGAAAAATGTTTAGAGGAGTCACGTCTTCATTGAGGATGAAAAAAGGAAAATTGTAAAAAAAACCTGTAAACTTGAAATAGAAAAGGCTTTAGAGGAGTCTTATCTTCATTGAGGAGTAGCTGAAAAATGGTTTAAAATATTTTTCCATGTTTGTTTATTCTGCCAAAATTATTCCCCTTATTTGGTTCCATTTTCTTAACAATTTCTTTAGGAAAATTTATATTTTATTTTATTTATTTTTATTTTTATTTCAAAGTGACCCTGGGCACCTTCTCTTCCCTTTTCCTTCCATCCCTGTGGAAGTTGTGTGCTCTGCCCTGGGGCTCGGGGGGATCCTGCAGGACCATTTCCATGGCTGTGTTTGAGGGACCTGGCACTAAATCCATCATCCCCGAGCCAGGCTTGGTTTAAATTTAGGACTGCTCACTTCCCCCTCAAGCCACCTCCTTGCTGCTGCAGCTCCTGCCTGCAAAAATAGAAGAAAATGGCAAAAGGAACAGATGCTGGAGGCTGAAAAAATCCCAGGAGCAGAGGAAACGTCACGACGTGTGACAGCCCTGCTGTCCCCCAGCAGCGGGGGAACTGCTTTCCTTTCCTGGAGAAAGGCTGGGGATGGGATTTTTGTCCTTGGTGCTGATGTCCTGGATGGAAACACCGGCACCAGAGCTCCAGGCCAGCTTTAGGAGCTGACAGGAAAGATGGAAAAGGGCTCTGGAGGGCATGGAGTGACAGGACAAGGGGAGTGGGAAAAGAGCTTGGAAAAACAGCATGGAAAAAGAGCAGGTTTAGATGGGATATTAGGAATAAAATCTTTTCTCTGAGGGTGGGCAGCCCTGGCACAGGTGCCCAGAGCAGCTGTGGCTGCCCCTGGATCCCTGGCAGTGCCCAAGGCCAGGCTGGACAGGGCTGGGAGCAGCCTGGGACAGTGGGAGGTGTCCCTGCCATGGCAGGGTTGGCACTGGGTGGATTTAAGGTCCCTTCCAGCCCAAACCAGGCTGGAATTCCGTGTAGGACTGAAGCTCAGTGGTGGCACATGCCAGCCATGGCCAGAGCCATCAGATGTGTCCCCAGCCTGGCAGCCGTGGAGCTCTGTGGGCTCTGATCTGGTGACTTCAGGTTCAGAACAAAGCTGGTGTCTGCAGCTGAAGCTGTCAGAGCTGCAGCAGACACAGGCAGAGGCTGTCAGGTAACACCTTACAGGGAGCTGTGTCACCCCAAAAGGCCAGGCTCGCCCACCTGGCTGCTTCTGCCTTGGTGAGCCCTGAAGTGGGGTCAGCCCTTGGCCAAAATGTGCATTTTTTACCCAGATCACATCTCCCACCAGTTAAAAGCAGCAGATATTTTAGTCCTTGTCCAAACACCTATTAGAGTGTGGGAATGATTCCATTTTAGGGGATTTTTTTTTTCCTAACACATTGCCTGTCCTCCCCAGGTGTCAGGAGATGTTCTCCTGCTCCCCTGCCCGCTCTGGGCTGTTCCTGTGGTTATGCAGGGTGGCACAGCTCAGCTGCTGGTGCCAGGGCAGCAGCACCCAAACCAGGGGGCTCTCCCCACCCCGCACTGGGGTTTGGGGTATTTCTTGGGAACTGGTTTGCTCTGAATCAGCCATTTCAGTCCTTGTTTCCCTGGGGCTGTGGCCCTGCTCACTCAGTCCCTGTGGGATGTCCCCTCTGGGGTCACAGCTCTGCTCCTTTGCCTTTCAGGGCTGTCCTGGCAGACGGGGGCTGGTGGGACCCAAAGGAGACAAAGTGAGTACCCACAAAAACAGTGTCCAGTGTGGGCTGTGGGGCTGGCACCACCATGGTTTGGGTTGGTTTGGGGGTTTTTCATCCACAGGCAGTGGGAGCTCCTGAAGCTGCAGGGCAGTGACCTGTCTGTGGGTTTGGAAGAGGAAGGAACTGGATTTAGTTAAGCCCAGGCTCAGGATTAAGCCACACTTGAGTTCTGGGGAGTTTTGAGCAGCACAATATGAAAAATGACATTGAGTTATCAGAGAGTGTTCAGAGGAGGCCACAAGGGCAGGGTCTGGAGGGGCCGTGAGGAGCAGCTGAGGGCACTGGGATGGTTCAGCTGGGGCAGGCTGAGGGCAGAGCTCCCCGGGGGCTGCAGCTCCTCCCCAGGGGCAGCTCCAGCTCTGCTCTGGGACAGGGACAGGAGCCAGGAACGGCTGGAGCTGGGCCAGGGCAGCTCAGGCTGGAGAGCAGGAAAGGTTCTTCCCCCAGAGGTGCTGGCACTGCCCAGGCTGCCCAGGGAATGGGCACGGCCCCGAGGCTGCCAGAGCTCCAGGAGCCTTTGGCCAGCGCTGCCAGGGATGCCCAGGGTGGGATTTTGGGGGTCTGGGCAGGGACAGGGCTGGGCTGGGTCATCCTTGGGGTCCCTTCCAGCTCAGGATATTTTCTGATTCTGTGGCTGAGCTGCCTGGACAAGCTGCTCCCTTCCCTTTGGGCTCTCAATGGGAGGTGGAGCAGCTTCGGCTCAGGTCACCTGGAGGAGGGACACTGGTGTGTCCCAAAGCCCAGCCCCATTTCATATCCATGAAATCACCTTGCAGGGACATTTGTCCTGCCCTCCCTGCCCAGCCCCGACACTGCCCTGGCTCAGAGCCTGTGCTGAGGCCCAAAGCCCTGCTGGTTTTAAGGAGCTGCCCTTGTCTCTGCAGGGATTCCCGGGGGCCGTGGGGAGGACGGGGCCCCCAGGCGAGCCTGGCCCTGCTGGCACCCCCGGTGTGCCCACCATTGTCCTCTGGAGGAACTCCAGGGAGGACTGGCAGTCCTTCATGGTGAGTTACAGCCACAGGGCACAAGTGCTGCACTCACACCTCCCCAGCAGCTCCCTGCATCCATGGGATGGGATGGGATGGGATGGGATGGGATGGGATGGGATGGGATGGGATGGGATGGGATGGGATGGGATGGGATGGGATGGGATGGGATGGGATGGGATGGGATGGGATGGGATGGGATGGGATGGGATGGGATGGGATGGGATGGGATGGGATGGGATGGGATGGGATGGGATGGGATGGGATGGGATGGGATGGGATGGGATGGGATGGGATGGGATGGGATGGGATGGGATGGGATGGGATGGGATGGGATGGGATGGGATGGGATGGGATGGGATGGGATGGGATGGGATGGGATGGGATGGGATGGGATGGGATGGGATGGGATGGGATGGGATGGGATGGGATGGGATGGGATGGGATGGGATGGGATGGGATGGGATGGGATGGGATGGGATGGGATGGGATGGGATGGGATGGGATGGGATGGGATGGGATGGGATGGGATGGGATGGGATGGGATGGGATGGGATGGGATGGGATGGGATGGGATGGGATGGGATGGGATGGGATGGGATGGGATGGGATGGGATGGGATGGGATGGGATGGGATGGGATGGGATGGGATGGGATGGGATGGGATGGGATGGGATGGGATGGGATGGATGGGATGGGATGGGATGGGATGGGATGGGATGGGATGGGATGGGATGGGATGGGATGGGATGGGATGGGATGGGATGGGATGGATGGGATGGGATGGGATGGATGGGATGGGATGGGATGGGATGGGATGGGATGGGATGGGATGGGATGGGATGGGATGGGATGGGATGGGATGGGATGGGATGGGATGGGATGGGATGGGATGGGATGGGATGGGATGGGATGGGATGGGATGGGATGGGATGGGATGGGAGGAAGGGTTTGCTATGGCTGAGATTCCTCATTGTTGGGTGGGAGGTGCGGGCAGAGGGGACATGCCAAGGAGGGAGGTGCAGCTGACTGAGGGTGGCTCTGTGGGTGGAATGGGATCAGCGTGTGCCCTGTCCCTCTGTCCCCTGGGACTGACCAGGACATCCTGGCCCCCCACGGTCCATCCATCACCTCGCTGGGATGGTTCTGCAGGACAGGGCCCAGGGAAGATCCGAGCCAGGCACGAGCAGCCCTTCTCCTGCTCTGTGCTGCTGATTACAAAGCCCCTGTCCTGCTTTCCACCCTGTCCCAGCTCCTGCTGTGCCCCAGCCTTTGGCTCACAGGGTTTGTGCCCATCCAGCTTTCTCTGAGGTGTTTTCTCCCCTGACGGGGTCTGTGGGGAGGCAGGAGTGCCTCAGGCACTGCACAGCTGGATGCAAAGCTCCATGGGGTGACTCCAAAACTCACTGAACAGCCCAGCCAGGCTCATCGAGAATTCCCAACTCCTCACAGCACAGCCACTGCTGTGATTAAGCTTAATTTTCAGCTCCCTGTGGAGCCTGGCCTGGGCAGGGCAGCAGCTGCAGGCATTGGGTTTTAAGTGCCCCAGGTGCTTTTCCTGGGGCTGGGAATGCTCTTTGCTTTATCTCTGCAGTCCCTCAGGGCCCTGCAGTGTGGCACGATGCTATCAGCGCCTTCAGGGGCAGAGCAAGGGGCTGATGAGAGCTCAGATTCACACTCCAGCTCTCTACAATGGCCCTGGGCAGGATATTTGAGTTCTCTGCTGCTCCTTCACTGGGGAAGAGCCTCATTGGAGGCAAATGCCCAGGATTTGGGGCAGGGGATGCAGGGAGGATCTCTGCTCTGCCAGCACAGCACCCCCGGGTGGGGATGGTGCTGCAGGAGGAGGAGGAGGAGGATGGTGCTCTGCTGGTCTGGATCTGAGCTTGGATGGACCTGCTGGGAATCCTTGGGCCAGAGCTCTGTGGTTTTGGGTTGGACTGGATCGAAGCAGAGATCAGATTCCTGCTGGGAAGCGCAGGAGAGTTGATCATCTGCTGAAGTTTTGGTTCACCTGGAGAACCTCCTTGTTCTCCCACCGTCCTGCTGCCCAGGGCAGGAGCTGTGCAGCTCCCAGTGCTGCCAGGATCCATCACAGGCACACAGTTAATGGGGTTGTTAACGGGGGCGAAGGAAAAGCAGCTCAAGGCCGCTGTGATTCCAAGCCCCTGCCCTGTGTTTGTGTTCCCGATGTGCTGACAGATGTTGGCTGTGCCAAGGTGTGGCTGGAGGGCAGAACTGCTGCTGGCTCCTTCTGGAGCTGGCTGCAGCAGTGGGCAAGTCCCAGAATCCTGGGCAGGAGCACTGGAGCTCCCACACTTACTGCAGAGCTTCATCTGCAGCACTGTGCTCCTTTCCTTTTATCCAGCCCTTAAAAACAGGGGGCAGGCTGGGCATTGTGCCTGGGAAGCTCGGAGGGAAAGGAAAAACTGATTCTTGAGAAAAAGAGGGAACTTTTAGGGATGTGCTGCTACTGCAGGGTTGGCACCTGCCGTGGTGGGGGTGGCACAGCTTGGGGATGGCCATGGGGTGACTGCAGAGGGTTGCATAGTTGGGGATAGCCATGGGGTGACTGCACAGGGTGGCACAGGGTGGCCATGGGGTGACTGCAGAGGGTGGCACAGGGTGAAGATGGCCATGGGGTGACTGCAGAGGGTGGCACAGCTTGGGGATGGCCATGGGGTGACTGCAGAGGGTGGCACAGGGTGAAGATGGCCATGGGGTGACTGCAGAGGGTGGCACAGCTTGGGGATGGCCATGAGGTGACTGCAGAGGGTGGCACAGGGTGGGCAGCCAAAGCTGCTCTGCCAGGCCTGAGCTGCTCCCCCCAGGGCTGCTGAAGGGTTCCTCTGCCCCCAAGGGTTCCTCTGCCCTGCTCCCAGGCTGGAGTTTTCCAGGAGCCCAAATCCCTGCAGTTGCTGCTCCCCACCCTCCCTCCCCTCCTGTTGTGCTGCTCCCCCCTTCCCAGAGCTGCAGCAGCAGCAGCAGAGCTCCGACTGCTTCCTGCTGGAATTGCAGAGCCCATTAACTGCTCTCCCCCTCCCTGGCATCTGCTGCTCTGAAATCCGAGTCCCTGTCTCATGTGGGATTTTGTCTTCCCCCTTTTGAAAAGGTTGGATGAAATAATATCCTGTCCTGGGCAAATCGGAGTTCACCGATTCCTGAGACAAGGCAAAAGCGTTGGCTCTGCTCCAGCCTCCTCCAGAAAGGCTTTGGGAGTGGATTTTGAGGGAAATGAGAACTGGCTGGACAGGAGGAGCATGGTCCTGCCAGGGGCTGCACCATTCACCCACGGAAATCAGTTTGGGAGCAGCCTGAAAGGAGCAGGGATGGCATCCATCACCTGCCCCAGAGTGCAGGTCACTGCCAGGGATATTGCCATCTCTTGAAAGCTCTGGGTTGATTTGCCTTCATGAGTTCCTTGGCTCTTCCCCTCTCTCCTCACTGGTAGTGGGGGACAGATCCTTGGAGCAGTGTCAGAATCTGAGGTGTTGATGATCCCCAGGTTGTAGAAAGTCTCTGTCTTTCAGCCCTGCTGCCAAAGCAGAAGCCATAATTGGTCTGTGCTGGTTTCAAGATTGTCCTTTCTCCCATGCCTTGCATGCACAGAGTCTGAAATAAATAAACAAATTAAAGGAGTGGTTCATTGCTGCATCTTCCCAAGACAAGGAGAAAGCCAGCAAAAAGGGATTTGGGATGGGTTTTTTTTAACATTTTGCTTTCCCCCCTTCATTTTTCTTCCAGCAATCATCATTTTACCAACTCCTGCACGCGGGCTGGCCGGTGAGTGCTGCTTTGGTCACTTTGAGGTTGGATTTTTCCTCCTTGGCTGCTGAGCTCTCCTTGCTCCAAGCATTTGATGGGTTTTACCAACGTTTGTTTTCTTTTTTTTTTATCCAGAGAAAACCTGGAGCTCCTGGGCCCCCAGGACACCCTGGGAAAACAGGAGCACCTGTAAGTACCAAAGCCCTGCTGTCCCTTTGGTGGCCTTGCTGCCAGCCTGGCTGCCCTGGGGACACTTTCAGGGTGGATGTCCCCAAGCACTCAGGCTGGGGCTGCTGCTGTGCTGTAATTAGGGGCTTTGGGATTGGGTTTCAAAGCAGCCTAATGGATTTCTTGTCTGCTTCCCACTGAAACCTGGGATGTTTGATATGCAACCCCCAGGGTTTTGCTGGCAGCTGCAGCCCCTCTGCTCTGCCAGCTGAGCAGGGCTGGCTGAGTTTCCTGGGGCATCAGGTTCCAGCCCTTGTTTTTGGGGAAGGGACAATGTGGGTCCCTCCCAGAGGCACAAAAACAAGGCAGGGAAGGGCTGGGGCAGGATTTGTGTGGGGCCAGCCTGTGCTGGGGGGTCTCAGCCCCATGCCCACAAGCTTGGCATTGCTGGGTGATGCTTCCCACCCATCTGGCCATAAGGCAAAGGAAAAGAAGGCAAAATTCTCTGTCCTGTCCTGACAAAATTCTTTTGTCCTAAGAAATGATGAGGGGGGTGCATGTTGGAGTCAAACAAAGTCCTCATCCTCATCTCAGGGGCAGCCTTGGGAGGGTTTGTGGCTTCTGGTCCCTTTTTGGGGGACAAATCCCACTGGGGCATCTGAGCAGCAGCCCTGCAGAGCCAAACTGGTGCCCCCATTTCCACCCCCATTTCCAGCCCAGCCCATCCCTGTGCTGTGGGTAGGTTGTCACCTCCAGGAACACACACAATATTGTCCTAAGGCAAAATTCTCATCCCATCAGGAACCAAAGCAGTGGAAAAATGGGTTTGCTGCTGACTCCAAACCTGCCCTGGGCACGGTGGGCAGGGTGGGGGTGCCAGGGATGTGAATTCTCCCACTCTGCCCTTCCCAGGGTCTCCTCTGGGCATTGCTGCTTGTCCTGGCAGCCTGCCCAGGGCTCGGGGCAGGGTGGGGGCACACCTGGGGTGACTCAGTCCCTGTCTGTGCACAGGGAGCCTGCGGAGCACCGGGAGAGCCGGGGCAGAAAGGCCAGCGGGGGTACCCGGTGAGTGGGGCTGGGGGTGTGGGGACACTGGGGACAGGTTCAGTGTGCCCTCAGGGCTGCCCTGGGACCCTCAGCAACCCTGCCCCTCCTGGATCAGCCCCTGCCAGGGTGAGGGAGAGCTGTGATGGGCTTGGGGACAGCTTGGGAATGGTGAGGCTGGTTTGGAGGGATGGGTCGATGCCCTGTGCCCTCCCTGCTGTGCCAGCTGGGGTGGCTCTGCACAAAGTCATTCTCCTGCTGCTCCTCTTTGCTGCAGCAGCAGGGATGGCTCGGCCACAGCTCAGCACAGCCCCTTTGGGTGCTGCACTCCTCCGGGTGACACCCCCAAAGTCCTTTTGTCACCCTCTAGAGCCCCCCCAGCTCTGCAGGGGATGGGTGAGCTCTGCCTGTGCCCTCCATGGGGATCCCTCATGGGATCCCATCTCCCCTGGGGTGCCCAGCTCAGCTCCCTCTGGGATTTAGGTGCCCTGTGGGTACCAGGAAAGGAGAGCAATGCCCCACTCTCCCACATCACTGCACTTTGCTCCACACTGCTCTGCAGCCTGCCTGAATTCAGGACTGCACCCAGCTCAATATAATATATTATATTATATATTATATATATTATATATAATATATATAATATATTATATTATATATTATATATATTATATATAATATATATATAATACATTATATATTAATTAATATATATTATATATTATATTATATTATATTATATTATATTATATTATATTATATTATATTATATTATATTATATTATATTATATTATATTATATTATATTATATTATATTATAATTATATTATATTTTATATATATCAATTAATATATTAATATATATAATATAATATATAATATATAATATATAATATATAATATATAATATATAATATATAATATATAATATTACATTATATATTATATTACATTATATATTATATTACATTATATATATATTATGTATATATAAAATATATAATTATATTCAATTCTATTAATTGAATATAATTTAGCCCAATAAAGCTTCAGCTGCTGATGGATCCTGGCTGGATCTGCTCTGACTCCTGCACGTGGGAAAGGGTCAGGAGTGGCTTTGAGACAGATTTCACTCGACCTTCTCTCACTGCATTTCTTTTCCCTGCCCTCCGTGCTGCTTCCTGCTGGGCAAGCCCTGGCTCCAGCTATCCCAGGGATTTGGAGGAGAACCTGGAGAGATCCACCTGCCCAACCCTTGTAGCTCCTTGATGCACAGAGCTTTTCCCCAGCTCCACAGCCAGAGGCAGGCAGAGCTCAGTGTTTCTTTATTGCTTTCATAATGTGGATATTTTAATTTTCCATGCTTGGATTTTTCTCCCCAGGGGGAACCCGGGCTCCAGGGCTTGCCAGGACGTGTGGGATACCCTGGCTCTGATGGCTTCCCTGGCTTGGATGGCAAACCTGGGCCCTGGGGGCTGCCAGGGGAGCAGGTGAGCCATGGGCAGGGCCAGGGAAGGCTCAGGATCAGGGTGAAGCTGGAGATCCAAACCCTGGGCTGGAGACAGGCAGTTCCTAAAGCTGCTCTTCCTTCTCTTGCCTCCTTTAGAATCTTTCTCCTCAGCCCCCAAACCAGGCAGGCCTGGATTAGTGCCTCGAGGGTTAGGTTTGCCAGGAATAAAAGGGTTGTGGGGCATCCCACAGGGGCATTAAGGGGTTGGGATACCCAGAGCTGCAGCTCCTGGGTGTGGTGGGTCTGAGCAGCAGGGCTGGGCTGCTGCACCTGGACCTCCTCGTGGAAAATAACTGCAAACCCTGGAATGGCTTGGGTTGGAAGAGACCTTAAAAATCATCTTGTTCCACCCCGTGCCATGGGCTGGGACACCTTCCACTAGATTCCACTGATCAGTGGCCTTGAGGGCTCAAAACTGGGAGGGTGACCAGGAAATGAGAGTAATTCCAGAATGCCTGGATCGTGTCCAATCCAGGAATTTGGTTCCTTGGTGCCTGGCCATGTCCAGAGCCTGGCAGCAACCCCTGGGGAACACAGGCAACGCCCCTGGGCTCGGGAGGTTTCTCTGGAGGGTTTAGAGGACAGGGACTGGGGGTGCTGGAAAGTTTGGGGCTCTCAGCAGCTGCTGGGGAGTGGGGTGGACACGGGTGGCAGCCCCTCAGTGCCTGCCCTGCTCCTTCCTCCCCTTCCCAGGGCCTCCAGGGCTTCCAGGGTGACCGAGGGCTGGCTGGGGACAAGGGAGAAGAGGTGAGTTTGCTCTGGCTGGCACAGCCATGGGCACGATGAGGTGCCAGCCCCAGTCCCAGCAGTGCCAGCTCCAGCACGTGCTCCCAGTGCCAAACCCAACACCTTTCATACTGGTTGTACTGGTACCAGCACTGCTCCTGCAGCTCCTCCCCAGGGCTTTGTCAGCCAGGATGGAAAATGTCCATCAAACAGTGAATGCTGGTGGTTTGTCACCCTTTGTTTTTTTTAATTTTTCATCACTTAGTCTTCTCCAGGCCAACATTTTTAGATCTGCCCATCTAGATTTTTGGGCTCCTCCAAAGTCTGATCATCCTGGTGGGTTTGAGACCTAATTTCTTCTTTTTGCTGCAGCAGTCCCACGTGGGTTATCAGATCCCTGTTCTGGGCCACGCTGTGTGTCCTTGTGCCTGTGCCAGCCCTGTGTCACTGCTGTGGGTGACACGCTGCCCCAGGAGCTGCAGGGAGGTGACACCACGCTGGGCACCAGCCGCCAGGCTTTGCACGTGTAGCACAACCTTGAGGGTCCCTGTTGTCCTGTCCCACCCTGATCTGTGTCCTTTGAGGCACAGCAGCCCCAGTTTAACTGCTGCTGGCCCAGCTGGGGCTCATCCTTGCTCCCATTTCATCCCTGTTCCTTTGCAGGGTTTCTTGGGGGACCCTGGAGCAGCTGGGGACAAAGGAGAGAAGGGAGTGAAGGTGAGGGTGGCTGTCCCTGCCCCTCACAGCCCTGCCAGGGTGGGCAGGGGTCTCTCCTTCCCCACCACAGCCCCCCAGCCCCACTCCTGCTCTCCTCCATCACTCAGGCTGCTCTTGGCTTTTCCAGGGGGTGAAGGGAGAGAATGGGCTGCCAGGTCCTGCCGGGCTCCAGGTGAGTTACCTGGGCAGCTGGAGCTGTCCCACACCCTCCATGCCCTTTGCTGGCCTGTCCCCTGTCCTTCTCTGTGGTGTCCCCAAGCTCCAGCTCATGCTCTCCTGGCTTTGGCAAAGCCCTCGTGGTCTCTGTGTGTCCCTGCCCCTCCTGTGAGGGAGGGGACAAAGGCAGTGTCACCTCAGGGTGCTGACACCTCATTCCTGGCTTCTCTCCAGGGGCTGGCGGGGCTGAAGGGTGCCATGGGCTTCCAGGGCCCTGCAGGGCCAGCGGTGAGTGGATTTCCCTTCTCTGTGCCCTCCCCAAAGGGGTGCAGGAGTGGGGAATTCCCACTGGGAAGAGGGACTGAGCAGGGATTTGTACCCAGGCACATTGGGGCCGTGCCTCCGGCATTTCCCAGCCCTGTTCTGGCTGGGAACGAGGAGAAATGAAGAGAAATGAGCTGTTCAGAGCACGCTGGGATTTATTTTAGGTGGCCACCTCCAGCTGAGGTGAATCCCAGGCTGGCAGCACCTGGTTCTTCCAGCATAAGGACAGCTCCGTGCTCCCACACAACTGGGAGACATCCTGTCCAGGAGAGGGCTGGAAAAGGCTTTGAAAGGAAAACTGAAGGGGTTTGGATGAATTCTGCAGCATGAAAGGGAGCTGGGGCTGGCCAGCAAATGTCTGAGGGGACATCAAGCAGCTGATGTGAAGAAATGTGAAAAACGATGTGAAGAAAAAGGGGGATTTGGGTTGAAGGAGAGTGTCAAAGCAAAAAATGACTTTTTTTTCTCTCCTGTGTAGGGAGAAGGTGGCTCAGTGGGTCCCCCGGGCCCTGCTGGTCCCATGGTGAGTCTCAGGGTTTGGTCCAGATGGAATTTGAGGCAGCAGAGCTGCTGCTGCCCAGAGTGCCACCTTCTTCACCCCGTGTTCTAATCCACTTGTTCTAAAAATGCTGCATTTGGTTAAAACCATCCCTGGCAGCTGGGGGAGGATTGCAAAAGGACCAGTGGTGTTAAAGCTCAGCAGCAAAGCCCTGCAGCATCCCGGGGATGCTGAGAAGTGCCTGTGGGGCTGAGCAGGGTCTTGCCTCGCAGGGAGAGCGGGGCCAGCCGGGATCCGTGGGATGCCGAGGCACCAATGGCTCTCAGGTGGGTGTTCCCTGCTGCCCATCCTTTGTGTTTGGGATTTTGCCGTCGCTGCTGTGCTCACCCCACCCCTGCCCTGCTCTCTCCGCAGGGGGAGATGGGCCCTCCCGGGATGGCCGGACCCCCCGCCCCAAGGTAGGCGACCCCCGGGATGGGTGCCCGGGCTGGGAGGCTGTGCCAGGCTTGCCTCGCCCGGAGTGCTCTCCTCCAGCTGGGAGGGATGGGTGAAAACCCACCCCAAAAGCTGCAGAGGCTGCAGTGTGCAGCCCCCAGTGTGCCATAAGCTGGGAACTCTGGAGCTCGTCAGCGCTGGGGGTTCCCAGGAGAAGTTTTGGTGCTGATGGCAGCTCCCTGTGCCCCTCACAGGGACCCCAGGGTTTGCAGGGCAGGCGTGGCCCCCCCGGCCCCAGGGGCTCTCAGGTGAGTGCTGCTGTCCTGGGGTGGTTGTGTCCCCCCATTCTCCTCCAGGAGCTGCTGGGATCTGTCCCCCATGTATTTGGGCAGTGGGTGTGAAATCCTTGCCCTTGGTGGGTGGTGTGGTATTCACATTCTCTGAACAGAGAGAAATGATTCTCCCTCCCAGGATTTTTTCCTGGGAAAAATGCAGTGAGAAAGCTCAGAGAAGGAAGAAAACAATTCTTACCTCTATTGGCTGCTGTTGTTGGCACATGAGGAATGTGTGGTGGAGATTGTTCACCCAAGAGTGATTTGTTAATTGGGCACCGGTGATGGTTGTGTGGATTGTTTGGTCAGTAGGGTCTGGGTTTTTTTTTTTCTTTAGTATCTTTTTAGCATGATATAGTTCTAGTATAGTATTAATTGAATATAATTTAGCCCAATGAAAGCAATTTATTCAGCCTTTTGCAACATGGAGTCAGAGCACGTTCTTCCCCCTTCAAGGGTCATGCTTTGACAGGGTGGGAAGGGCTGTGTCCCCTGGGGGGGACATTGGCCCTGGGGTGTGAGGCAGCTCCTGGGCAGGTTCCTGTGGGCTGGGCTCTCACCCACAGAGCAGGACAGGGAGCCACATCCCTCTGCTCCCAACTTCTCCCTGCCTTTGCTTTTCCCAGGGTGCAGCAGGGCTGGAGGGATCCGCAGGTCCCAAAGGAGTCAGAGTAAGAGCGTTTTCCTGGACCTTGGTGGGGGTGAAGCCCAGCTTGGAGGGATTTCCCTGGAAGGACCTGATGTATGGGGTTGAGGGGGTCCTCGTTCCCGTTTTTGGAGGGGAGAGGGGACAGCACTTCCAGCTGACCTCCCAAATGCCACCTGGTCACCTTGGGGAGGGGACAGGGAGGGGCTGGCTGCTGGAATGAGAGCCCTCTGTACTCTGGGACAGGAGCCAGGAACGGCTGGAGCTGGGCCAGGGCAGCTCAGGCTGGAGAGCAGGAAAGGTTCTTCCCCCAGAGGTGCTGGCACTGCCCAGGCTGCCCAGGGAATGGGCACGGCCCCGAGGCTGCCAGAGCTCCAGGAGCCTTTGGCCAGCGCTGCCAGGGGTGCCCAGGGTGGGATTTTGGGGGGTCTGGGCAGGGACAGGGGTGGGTTGGGTCATCCTTGGGGTCCCTTCCAGCCCAGGACAGTCTGTGATTCCAGGATTCCTCGTGCAGGGTGCAGATGGAGCCCCTGGGGTGAGGGGACAGCTGGGACAGGAGGGCCCTGGGGTAAGTGCATGGGAAGGGGGTGGCTGGATGTGGGGTGCTCTCCTTCTTCCCCTGGCAGCCCCACCAAATCCTGCAGGGAATGCTCTGTTTCCCCAGCTTCCCACAGGGCTGGTGGGGATGCCAGCTACGTCCTTGTGGCTCCAGTCCTCATCCCAAAAGCTCCTCTTTTTATTCTCGATTTTATTCTTTCCCTGTGGATTTATCAGCAGACATGGCCCAGCCCTGCTGATCCCTTTGCTTTTCCCAAGGGATTTGGGTGCTCAGGTGCCCTTTCCAGGGACAGCCTGACCTTCCTCCTGCTTGGCCCAGGTGTCCCTTTCTGTGTCCTGGGACCCCAACCCCCAGAGCTGAGAACTGGGGATGGATGGGATGAGAATGGGATGAGAAACTGAGAATGGGATGTGGGATGAGGGGTGGGATGTGGGGGTGCATTTTGAAGTCAAACAAAGTCCTCATCCTCATCTCAGGGGCAGCCTTGGGAGGGTTTGTGGCTTCTGGTCCCTTTTTGGGGAGCAAATCCCATGGGGGGATCTGAGCAGCAGCCCTGCAGAGCCAAACTGGTGCCCCCATTTCCAGCCCAGCCCATCCCTGTGCTGTGGGTAGGTTGTCACCTCCAAGAGCACACACAATATTTCCCTGTGTGTTTTTCTTTTGAACTTGCATTCTCTGTCTCTCTGAAGGGTTTCCTTGGCCTGCCAGGTGCAAAAGGCTCCCAAGGAGAGCAGGTGAGTGATGGCATCCATGGGATCCTGCTCTGGAAGCAGGGGAGCCGAGGCAGAGCAGCCCAAAGCTGCAGCTCCGTGTTTTGATGTGTGCTTGGACTTGATGTTTGGGCAGGTGCCAGCTGGAGCTGTTTGGGAAGGCAGAGCTGAGCCTGGGCTCCTTTTGCTGTAATAAGAGGAGCTTTCAGACTTGGGGGTGTCCTGAGGGGTCACCTGCCTTTGGGAGCTGTGGGAGGTGGGAATGCTTTGGCCTGAGCAGTGAGGAGAAGACACTTGGCATTGTTTTGGTGGTGCCAGAGATGCCACCACCAGCCGGGAGCTGGCACTGGCACTGCCATGGGCTGCTGGGCTCGCTTTGGTGGGGATTGAACCCAAAAGTCCTGCAGGCAGATCCAGCAGGACCCTGCTCCCAGCTCAGAAAGGCCCATCCAGAGGAAAGCCCTGAGTGGAACAGGGCAGAATTCTCTTTATTTGGTGGCAGGGTCAGAGCACAGCTTGCCCAGGGCTCCTCAGGGTAACCCCACTGCTGCTGCTCTTGCAGGGCTGCCGAGGTCCGGCTGGAGCCAAGGGAGATTTGGGAGCCAAAGGAGGCAAGGTACCAATTCCCAAGCCTGTGGTGCCTCCAAATGCCACCTGGAGGTCCCTGGTCTCCCTGGGGAGGGGACAGGGAGGGGCTGGGTGCTGGAATGAGAGCCCTCTGCACTCTGGGACAGGGACAGGAGCCAGAAAGGGCTGGAGCTGGGCCAGGGCAGCTCAGGCTGGAGAGCAGGAAAGGTTCTTCCCCCAGAGGTGCTGGCACTGCCCAGGGAATGGGCATGGCTCATAGAGCTGCTCCCTGTGTTGCTCAGTTGTGCTTTACCTGCTGTGGGTGGGTGTGGCTGCCCGAGGACCCTGAGCCTGGCTGGGTTTTGGGGTCAGTGACAGCCAGGCCGCTCATTTTGTGCTGATCCCCCCACCTGATCCATCCTTCCCCGCTCCATCTCGCTTTCCTGTTTGTAAAAATGTATTTTCCCCTTTCAGGGATGCTGGGGAAGGAGGGTTTGGGGTGCCCACACGTGCCAGTGATGGGTTCTCCAGGGGAATTCCTGCCTGTGGATCAGGGAATTGCTGTCCCTGCTTTGTGACACTCCGTGTTTTGTTCCTCCAAGGGCCCACGAGGAGCACAAGGAGCAAAAGGCCCTCCAGGAACCCGGGGCCAGGGGGGCTTGCAGGGCTTCCCCGGCCCCCGAGGGGCTGCAGGGCCACGGGGACCAGATGTGAGTGCCACTGCTGGGATGGAGTGTCACTGTGGGGGGAGCACACGTGTGACCTGTGTCATGGGTGGGGACAGCCCTGAGGGGGGCAGGCACTGCTGATCCGTGGGGTGTCTCCTAAGGGATCCCTTGAGCAGCATCAGCCAGGGGGAGGTTTGGCCCAGAGCCCCCAACCTTGGGGCTGCAGGTGCCCCCAGCACCCAAACCGAGCTGTGCTCTGCCTGCTCCACACCTCTGCACCCCAAAATTCGCTGCTGGGGTCACTGATGGCAGAGGACTGCCAGCCCTCCCCAGGTGCCTCAGCCCGAGCAGCTCTGCAGGGTCCTGCTGAGCCCTGCTCTGGGCCAGCTCCTTTGCAGGTTTTGGGGAGCAGAGGGTTCGTGGATTGCTCATTTTGTGCCCCTCTCTGACTCCTGCCAGGCTCCCTGCTCCTGGAGCCTGTGGGGCTTTGGGAATGCTTCTTCCTGCAGTGTGTGCTCTGAGAGAGCTGGCTGGGAGGCTGAACCCACCTCCAGAACCGTGTTTGAGGCTGGCTGCTGATCCCCAGTGATTCCCAGCTTCTCAGGAAAAGGAGGAACACTTCCCCATCCACCTTTCCAGTCTGCAGTGATCACCCTCCCACTCCCAAGGCTTTTGGGATACCCTGCTGAATCTGCTCTTTTGCTCTCCAGGATGAGTGGCAGCTCCTCCTCCCTCTCCAGGAGCTGGGGATGCAGCAGGAATCCTCTCCTGCCTTGTCCACCCTCCTGGGCAGCAGCTTTGGCACAGCAGTCCTTGCAATTGCCTTTAATTTGTCCACCAGGAAACAAAAATATCCAAATGTGTCACTTTGGGCCACACCAAACTCTGAGATTTTTCCTTCAGCCTGGTTTTTTAGCCCTGGGAGATGGGGAAGTCCCCATTGCCACCAAAGCTCAGCTGGTGCCATTTATGAATGTCACCTCTGGTCACACTCGCAGTGTTTTTCCCTACACCAGCAGCAGGCTGGTAACTCCCCCAGGATCAGGGGCTGTGTTTTCCCTGGATCATTCCTCCCCTCTCTCCTGGCAGGGAGAAGAAGGTCAGATTGGCCCTGCAGGGCTAAACAGCAGCGAGGGACCCAAGGTCAGTGCCAGAATTTGCTGCTTTCCCATGGGCTGCCCACTTCCTTGCGTGGCAAACAGGGATGTGCCCACCCTGCCAGGGTCCCTGCACCCAGGGGCACCATCCTCCCCGTGTATGGCATCCCCCTGACCTGCCCCTGTAGATTTGCAATGTCTGTGTTTTCCTTTCTGTGGATTTTAGGGATGCCAAGGAGCTGATGGCCCCAAGGGAACCCCAGGACCACGGGGAGCCCGGGTAACTAACGGGGTGCTGGAATTTGGGGCTGGATCTTGGAGCATCTTTGGCGCTGGGGGATTGAAACAGCCCTGGATTGAAACATGCCTTGCTTGGCTTGGGATGTGCTGGGGCAGAGCACATCCTTCAGGCACAATGTTTTCCTCCAGATCTGCAGCTTTGCCACTGTTTTGTGATTGCTGCTCTTTTCCAGGGCCGTGTGGGGCAGCGTGGGCTGGTTGGAGTCCCTGGGCTGCCTGTGAGTAGAGGATATCCCACATCCCTGGGCTGCCATGGGGAGCTGCTGGCTCTGGGATGTGGGGGCAGCACCCTGGGATGTGGCCAGAGCAGAGGGTCAGGAATTTGAGCAGGAAAAATTGGGGATGGGCATCTCGGGCTGTGGCACGTTGCATTTTGACAAACCACCTGCCCAACACCACGACTTCCCCCAGAATGCTGAGCACAGAAAATTCCAGGAAAGAACCCTATAAGGAAGCTCTGTTATTCAGAGCTGAGGCTGGTGAAGGAGTCAGGAATAAATAACTAGGGCAGGAGGAGGAAAATCCCAGCTGAGGTGTTCCTGGTGGGAACAGCTTCCCTCCACGTGGATGTTCTTTCCCATCCCAATGGACGGAGCAGGGAGGAGCTGCGTGGGACGAGCTGTGCACGGAGGAATGCACAGCTCCACAGGCAGTGCCACCACTGCTGTCCCACACTGTCACCCTGCAGGGTGGCTCTGGGGCTGGGGGAGCCCTTGGTGGGGTCACCCTGAGGCAAAACTCTCCTTGCAGGGCTCGCGGGGCGTGCCGGGAGCGGAGGGCGCAGAAGGAAAGCCTGGTACACAGGTTCCATCCTACATCTGTACTTGCCTGGGGACAGGGGCTGGGATATCCCTGTGGGCAGGGGCAGCTGAGCCCATGGGGGCACTTCCCAACCTCCCATCCCATGGCCATGAGGGACAAAAGTTGATACCATCAGTGGGGACACTTCCAACCTCCCATCTTGTGGCTGTGTGGGACAAGAGCGGATACCATCAGTGGGTGCTGGAGCTCACCTCAGGTCAGGGGTGGCTCCGTGTGGTGGAAAAGTCTCTCCTCCACCCCGAGCTTCCAAAGAAAGGCTCAGCAGTCTCTTGTCTGGTCTCAAGGCAGTTTATTGCAAGTTATCTAAAAGATTTTCTTCTGGGGCTGCTGTGGTTTGCTCACAGCTCAGGCAGAGGCACACACACACCCTGACATCCTCTCTGACTCCCGACTGCTTCTTCTCTCCCCCTCTGCCCAGGGCTGCTGCTGTCTTTTATATGGTACATTACGTGTTACATGGGTACAGTTTTTCCCCAATGCCTATTACCTATATTAAATGGTGCTTTTCTATCTTTTATATGGTACATTACGTGTTACATGGGTACAGTTTTTCCCCAATCCCTATTACCTATATTAAATGGTGCCTTTCTACTCTAAACCAATCTGGGAGTGCCAACATCACCAAGAACATGGAGGGAAGGAAGGAGAAAGAGGGAGGACAGGGCAGGCCCAAATCCCTCCATCTTAAAACCTCTGACCCCCATGTACAAAACCAAAACCCCCTGTACAGCACTCAAAAATTCTTCCTTTACTTTGTGACCATTTCTACTATAATATCTAAAAGTTTGTGACTTCTTGTTCTTCCTGCAAGGTTGGTAAATCGTTCCATGGCTCAAATCCAAAATCACAGCTGTTTCCAGCTGCCTGCCAGGGTCTCAAATGCTTCTGACCTGGGCCTGGAACCTCCAAAAATGTCTGAGGGACATTTTGAGTTCCGACAAGTGGGGACATTTCCCAACCTTCCATCCCATGGCCATGAGGGACAAGACCTTGATCCCATGGACTTTGCCATGATGGGCACTGGGAGAGGCTGTTCTCCTTCCTCATCCTCATCCTGATCCTTGTCCTCATCCTGCAGGGCCACGCAGGGACCTTGGGCAGCCCAGGCAGGAGGGGACCACTGGTGAGTAGAGCTGATTTCTGCCTTTCCATCCCTCTGCTCAGCTTTATCCCTTTGGGAATGTGCCTCCAAAGCATGAGGGTGTTGCTCTCGGAATCCTGCTCAGGGATGAAGGATTGGGAACAGGGCAGTGGGATTTCCCACCCCTGGCACTGCTAGCCTGAACAAAGCCAGCAGCAAGACTGGGGCTGGCAGCAGGTTTTCCCTTCTGCAGGATATCAGATATTTATCTTTGTTCTGAAATTAAAAAAAATAAAAATTAAAAAATAAAAATCTGGCGCTTCCCTCAAAAAAGAGGATGAAAAGTGAGTCAGAGACACACCTGAGTGCTGCCAGCATCACACTGAGTGTCTTGGGCACCAGTGGGTGTTGTGTCTGTCCCCACACAGCTGTAGAGATTCCATGAGGAATCCAGGAGTGGATTTGAAGGAAAAGCCCCAGTGCTGCCTTGACCAGGCTGGGCCCTTCACCTGTGCTTTGGGTGGGGCTCAAACTGGGGCTGAATCTCTCCATCCTCCTCTCCTGCCTCTCTCCATGGCTCCTCTGCTGCCCTTCCCTCCAGGGATTTGCTGGTTTGCCAGGGAGCCGTGGGCACGCCGGAACTCCTGGATCCATAGTAAGGAAAAAGAAATGTTCCTCTGCATGAACTGTGTGTTTTTCCATGTGGGCTGTCAGTGGGGCTTGTGATACTCGTGGGGAATGTGGGACTTTCCTTGGGAATCAGGGCATCTGTAGGACCTGATCTTGGCTGGTTGATAAAACACATTTAAAAGCCTCAGTGGTGGAAATAACTGGGGCTGGGAAAGAGCAGAATCATTCCTCCAAGGAATCAGCCTGCTCTGGGCACTGTGCAGCCTCCCTGAGCCTGGCAGGGTGTCCATGGGGATTGGCAGCTGATGGAAGCGCTCCATGGCTGAGCAGGATCTGGCTCTGGGTCCTGGGAGGACATCCCAGTGGCAGAGGGTGGCACGGGTTCAGGGGGAGGGTGCTGGCACTGCCCAGGCTGCCCAGGGAATGGGCACGGCCCCGAGGCTGCCAGAGCTCCAGGAGCCTTTGGCCAGCGCTGCCAGGGATGGACAGGGTGGGATTTTGGGGGGTCTGGGCAGGGCCAGGGGCTGGACTCGATCCTGGTGGGTCCCTTCCAGCTCAGTGACCTGGGATGGAGACCTGGAACAGCTCCTGCAGCTGGAACAGCTCCTCCCTGAGAGCTTGCACTCAGCTGGGCTTGGTGGTGATGTTGAGAGCAAGGATTGGCACCTGCCCTGGTGGCAGCCCTGCCAGCCCTGGGGACAGTGTGCAGGAGCCACCAGCACCAGCCACAAGGGCTGGGTTTGCCCCCTGGGACCCTGCTGGGCCCAGCTGGCCCCTGGCCATGAGCTTGGGGCAGCAGTGAGGGCTCAGGGGGCTCCTCTCAGCCTTTGACTGACACCTCCTCCCCACATAATCCCAAAGGGCTCTCCAGGAAAGCCTGGACCTGATGGAGAGCCGGGTTGCTCGGGCCCAAAGGTGAGAGCTGGGTTTGGGGGGCTGGCTGGGGAGTGATGGTGGTGCACAGCCCCCAGAGGCTCTGTGGAGACCTGGGGGATCCCATGGACCCAGCCCGAGGGCTCCTCACGTCCTGTGGGATCACTGAGGAAGGGAGGGTGCCTGACTGGATCCCCAGGGTGGGGGTTTGCTCATTTTATTGTTTTGCCTGCCAGGGGCTGCCTGGGAAGCCTGGCTTGGAGGGGCCACAAGGACCTGTGGGCACCTATGTAAGTGATGGAGCTGCCCACGGAGGGGGCACAGCAGTGGCCAGACTGGGAGGAGGCTGCAGCAGCCTCCAGCTGGGCACTCACCACCCTCCCAGGGCTCCTGCCTCTCCTCAGCCACCTTCTCCCAAAAACACAGCGATGCCAGGCAGCCCCAGCTGCCTCCTAACCCCGAGCTCTTCCCAGGGCTATCCAGGACCTGCTGGAGACCGCGGGAGGTTGGGACACAGGGGAGACAAGGTAGGGATGGGACACCCACTCCAGCACTGGGAGCATTTGTGGGATGAGTTTTGAAGCCAGTGGATGGGTTTGGAGGTGTCCACAGCCTCCACCAGCCATGGTGGGAGGAGAAGAGCTGGATCTGTCTCCCACAGCAGGTGAACCATTGGCACTCCAGCACCTCCTCTGCCCCAACACCTCTGGATTATTCTCAGAGCTATTTTTTGTTTGTTTTGCTGTGCTTTTTTTATGAGGTTTTTGCATTAAAACATCCAGAGGAAAGGAAATCTTTCTTGCCTCTTAACAGGGAGAAAGGGGAGCTCAAGGTGCCCCAGGATTTCCAGGAAAAGCTGGTGCAAAGGTAGGGATAAGGACTGTTTGCTGCTGTTCTGGGCAGCCCCAGCCCTGGGAAAGCAGCAGGCAAGTTCTGTGTGCTGGGCTGGGAATGGGGAAATGGGGAAATGGGAAAGCTTTGCCGTGGGGAGCTGCTGCCAGGGCTGCAGTTCAGTGGGCAGGGGGCTCAGCCAGGGCTGTGTCACCGATGGTGCTCTTGTCCCCCAGGCCCTGCCGGGTCCCCCTGGTCCTCGTGGTGCTCCAGGCTCCCAGGTAGGGCTCTCCTTGCTCCCTGTGTTCCTGGCTGCTCCCATCCCTCTGCATGGATGTGTGACCTGCACACAAATGCACACAGCACCCCCTGTGCTGTGCAGCATGGATCCATCCCAAAACCCTTTTTGGGAGCAGGCAGGACCCTGGTTGCACTCCCTGCTGGCTGGGCTCTGTCCTGATGTGGCACAGACACCACTGAGATGGGGACAACCCCCAAGGACGTGGGGATTTCTCTGAGCAAAGCCTCACCCTGGTCCCAGTTCCCTGGTCCCCTGTTCCATGGACACACTGCTGAAGATCTTTCTTATTTCCCAGGGCAGGACAGGTGACCCAGGTCCTCGAGGGCTCCCAGGGCTGCCTGTAAGTGCAGAGCTGCACCTTGCTGGGTGGGGTCATGTCCCACAGCGTGGGCATCTGTAGGAACCCTGGTCACTGAGAATGTCAGACTTTCTGTGCTGCCAGGCACTGACCCCCAGGAGAACACTGCACTGACCTGAGGCCATGGGGAAGCTTCCAGAATGGAATGACAGAACTGGGATTGTGGGGATGGAGTTTGGATAGAAATGTGTAATATCACAGGGTGGGGAACTTAAAGTTTTAGAATATTGTAATATATATAAAGCAAGATGGAGGTTTTAGGGCAGAGGCTGCTCCTCTTCTTCACCTTCTTCTTCACCTTCTTCTTCACCTTCTTCTTCACCTTCTTCTTCACCTTCTTCTTCCCCTTCTTCTTCCCCTTCTTCTTCACCTTCTTCTTCCCCTTCTTCTTCACCTTCTTCTTCACCTTCTTCTTCATAGGTATAAGTAGTAGTGTGTAATTAGATAAACAAGTCTACATTGCAGGCCACAGGTGGTTGGTTATTAGGTTAAAAGTAAAAATAGTTTAAGTGTCATTTCTTAATTAGACAGTTTATCCTTAAAAAACCTTGTAGAAAGAGAAATACAGTCCCGTTTTTAATTTGTTAGAGTGAAGTACTACAGAGCTCACAGTTTGTGAGACTATAATATAGATAAGAACTAATAAACATCTGAATCCAAACAACAAATACTGCCTCACACATTTAATCCCAACCCTAGAGCAAGAAAACCCAAAAAACTCAACTGACATGGGTGCCACTCCAGGGTGTTTTTATCCCTGGTGTGGCTATGGGGCAGGGAACCCCAAACCCTGTGTGTGGGTGGTGACAATTGGGGTGTGGGGACAGCAATGTCCTACACCTGGAGCAGGTGGCACCTTTGGACCCCAAGGTGACCCAACTGCATCAGCCACGGGGCTTTCCCTGGCTTAGCCCCCCCAGAGCTGTGTTTTGGGGGGCCTGAGGGGCTTTTCTGGCCTTGCAGGGTGTTCCTGGCACGAGAGGGCTGGCTGGCATTCCTGGGAATCCCGGCTTGGGCGGGGAAAGAGGCGCTCCTGGAGCAGCTGGTGCTGCTGGCCCGCCTGGCTACCCGGTGAGTGCTGCGGGGAGCCCCTCAGGAGGACAGGGTTGTAAATGAAAGTTTGTCCAGCCAAATTAAAATGAAAAAATAAAATATTTATTTGCAATCCAATTCTATCTAGCCAGCCACAAGGAAAGAACAGAGCCGAGCCCGGGGTCGGCCCTGGGTGTGCAACAAGGAGTCAGCCTCAGCAGAGGTTTTCCTCTGTGCCCACACACCTCCATCCTGGCACAAGTGGTTTTTATAGGGAAAATTCCACCTGAGGCCAAGATTTCAGCAATCAGTCTTTTCTTCTATTCAGAGTCCATAGGTTAATGAGATTTTCTTTTTTGATGATGAAGAAGAACAATTCAGTGTCCGGAGTTGGTGAATCCCTTGATGAAATTTATGGGAACATTCCCATGGATCTGCCCGAGGATTTCCATGCGATCCATCCCGGGTCACTCACACGATGATCAGTGCCTGGGGTCCCCCCATATCTCTCCAGACATGGCCCATCCCCATCTCCTGGCCCAGCCACATCCTTTTACCTGTAAATCGGGTTTCAACATACACCAGGTTTCACCTGCGAGGGTGGGGGGACTCCTAATACAAACGTGTATACTCCAACAAATATTCAATATCACATATATCATACTAGAGATGGCATGAATTATATCTACTACACATAACAACAGGAATTTGGAATTTTGCTGCAGCAGCACCTCTGGGGAGCTCCCTGAAGCAGCTGCAGGAAGGGAAGGGAAAGGGAAGCTGTTGCAGGGGGCTTGAGGAGCTGGAGCAGGGATGCCCTGGGTGGTGTGTCAGGACATCCCAGACCCTGCTCGCCCCCTGCAAAGGCTCCTGAGCCTGGCCCAAGCCCCTCTGCTGATGTGGGGTGTTTGTTCTCAGGGCCGGGAAGGTCCAAAGGGACGTGAAGGGCCTGCAGGGATGAGAGGAGAGAAGGTGAGGACAAAGGAGAGGATTTGGTTTCCTTGGGAGCTGCCCAGAGCCTCGGGCTCACCCCACTGACCTTCCCAGGGCTGTGGGGGCCAGCACTGCTCCCAGTTTGGCCCCATGGCTGTGGGATGGGGATTTCCATCTCGGGGAGCTGCAGAGACAGAGAACAGCACGGCTGCTTGTCCTGACTTCGTGTCCTCTGCAGGGTGAGGTGGGAGCTCCCGGGGCAGCCGGAGTCCGCGGGCTGGATGGGGAGCAGGTACAACAGCCGGGAACTCCATCCCCACCCGTGGGGCTGCTCCAGCCTCCCCCCTTCAATTCCCTGTTCCAAGGGTGGGAAAGGATGGGAGCAGGCTGCTGAGCCTCCAAAAAAAAGCCACAAGGTTAAAGCTGGGCCCGTGAGCTGTGCTAGGGCTGGGCTTTTCTTCCCTCCACAGGGACCACCAGGAGCAGCAGGAGCAGAGGGTCAGCTGGGGCCCAAGGGTGAGCAGGTGGGTGCTGGGGGTGGTGCTGGGCTCACCCCACTCCTGCAGGGTCACACAGGCACCTGAATCCCACCCCAGCATCCTCATGCCTGGGGATTGATGTTGCTGGGCATGGCAGGGGTGTCCCCATAAGAAAACCGGGGTTGTCCCAGTATGGGAAAAGGCTCAGCTGGAAAAGGCAGCCAAGAATCATCCTGGTCATCTTCATCCTGTCCAGGGAGAGGCAGGAACCTGTGGAGCTCCAGGCATCAGAGGGAGCCCTGGGGAGCCAGGGGACGAGGGAACAGAGGGGCCACCAGGACAGCCTGGGAAGCAAGGCAAGGAGGTACGTGTGGGATTGTCCCCACAGGGACTGGGAAAGGGAAAGGTGCTGCCTCTGCACCCTGCCCAAGCCATGGCTTTGCCCCACAGAGCCTGGGATGCCCCCATGGAACAGAGGGTTGGTGCTTTGGGGTCCCCGTGCTGGGCAAGGTGTGCTCAGCATTTTGTCCCCACTCACTTTTGGGGTAGCGGGGTCACAGCTGGGGTGGTCTCCCAGCACGGGAGGTGAGGCCGTGCCTTACCCAGCATCAAAATCCCAGCCAGAGGAGGGTGGAGAAGCCCATGGAAATCAAATCCCATCTTTTATCCCAACCTGGCATGGGGCTGGGAAGCAGCTGCTGTGTCTGATGTGGGCATTTCCCCCCGGGCAGGGTGACACTGGTGACACTGGAGACCCGGGTGAGCCAGGACCACGGGGACAGAAGGTGAGGGGTGTCTCTAACCCTGTCCCTCTTTCCAGCACCTCGGGGACACCCCATGCCTGCTCAACCTCTGCTGCTCCATGGTGGGACAGAGCAGGACAGGGATGTCCCCATGGCTGAGGAGCAGCCCAGGGTGACCTGCTCTCTGTGGCACCTGGCCAGAGGGTCACACAGCTCACCTCCACGCAGAAGCTCATTTATTGCTGTTCTTTTTCTTTTCCCTCTTTGTGGTGACACTTGTCTCCATCCCTGAGCAGGGCAGTGCTGGTCCCAGGGGCATTCCTGGAATTCCCGGTCCAGGAGCTGCCACAGGTGAAATTGGAGGGAAAGGCCAGAAGGGAGAGAAGGGCCGAGAAGGTTTGCTGGCAAGTACAGCTGGGGCTGGGCTACCTCACCCTGCAATGTCCCCAAGGCTGGCTGATGGGTGCCAAGGAGGCCACTCACCCCTGCTGGAAACCTTGGCCTCTGGGAGCTGCACAAACCCTTGGAATTGTCCAATCTCCATAACTGGAGAGTTTCATGTCTCACAGGCATGACACCAAAGCTGGCTCCTGCTGGCACAAAAGGATGGTTTGGGTTTGTGGGGCACTTTGGGGTAATGCTGCCTCCAGCCAGGCTCCTGCCAGGCTGGGAACATTCCCCTCTGTGTGCCAGGGCCAGGGCGGTGTCACCGGAGCTGCAGGACCTGCCGGAGCCAGAGGATGGTTGGTAAGTCAGATCATGTCCCCTGTCCCCTTTCAACCTGTCCCAGACCTGCTGGGGGGGATATTTTTGTGTGACTGGGAGCACTGGGCAGGGCCCGCCTCTGTCACAATCCTGCCAGGGGACATTTATGGGACTGGGAGCACTGGGCAGGGCTCCATTTCTGTCCCAGACCTGATTAGGGGACATCTGTGTGACCAGGAGCACTGGGCAGGGCCCATCTCTGTCACTGATCTGGTGAGGGGACATTTTTGTGACTGGGGTACTGGCAGGGCCCTGCCTCTGTCCCAGAGCTGCCAGTGGACATTTGTGTGACTGGGAGCACTGGCAGGGCCCATCTCTGTTATTGATCTGGTGAGGGAACATTTTTGTGACTGGGAGCACTGGCAGGGCTCCATTTCTCTCCCAGAGCTGGTGAGGGGACATTTGTGTGACTGAGAGCACTGGGCAGGGCCCCATTTCTGTCATGGGTCTGGTGAGGGGACATTTGTGTGACTGAGAGCACTGGCAGGGGACATTTGTGTGACTGGGAGCACTGGGCAGGGCCCTGCCTCTGTCCCAGAGCTGCCAGGGGACATTTGTGTGACTGGGAGCACTGGCAGGGGACATTTGTGTGACTTGGGAGCACTGGCAGAGCCCATCTCTGTCATGGACCTGGCGAGGGGACATTTTTGTAACCGGGAGCACTGGGCAGGGCCCATCTCTGTTATTGATCTGGTGAGGGGACATTTTTGTGACTGGGAGCACTGGGCAGGGCTCCATTTCTGTCCCAGACCTGGTGAGGGGACATTTGTGTGACCAGGAGCACTGGGCAGGGCCCCATTTCTGTCATGGGTCTGGTGAGAGGACATTTGTTTGACCAGGAGCACTGGGCAGGGCCCTGCCTCTGTCCTAGAGACATTTGTGTGACTGGCAGGGCTGTGACCTGTGCTCCTCTGCTTGTGCCCTGAACAGGGGCCGCCAGGACTCCGAGGTCCTCCCGGGCTCGATGGTCCCGAGGGAGAGAAGGTACAGAGAGATGATGGCTCCAACCCTTCATCTCCGGGTGAAACTCCCTTTTGTGGCCTCTTCCCAAGGAATTCCCATGTGGGAAATCCCCACATTTCCCAGTGGGAATGTGCTGGGACTGGCTGCATGGATGTCCTGGTGACAGGGGACCTGCCATGGGACACCCCTTCCCTTGCTGCCTGAGGTGGAGTCAGCAGGGCAGGTGAGGGTTTTCCATGGACAGAGCTGTTTCCTCTCCTTTCCCAGGGAGATCCAGGGCCACGAGGTGTGGATGGACCTGCTGGGGCTGCAGGATTCCAGGTACTGATGCCTGGAATGTTGCAGAGCTGGGAATTGCCAAAGGCTTTTCCAGCTCTTCCCTATTTCCAGTACAACCCAAAGGATTTATTGCCCCTTCACTGGCCAGGCTGGGGGGCTCAGAAATGAGGAGGGGGTTGAACACCTCATACCTCAGCACTGACTCCCAGGACCCTAAAACCCCAAACTCCCAGTACCTAAACCCCTAAAATCAGACCTTTTCCAGCACCCAGTGGTGCCTCATGGAAAACCTGTTCCTGCTGCTGAATCCTGTTTACTCCCACGTGGTTCCCAGTGCTGTCTTGGCCAGTTGAGCATGGGATGTGGGACAGAGTGCTCCAAGTCCCCACAGAGGTGAAGGACATGGTGGTGAGGGGCTTTTTCTGAGCCCCCATGTCCCCACAGGGACAGGCTGGAGATGATGGAGTAAAGGGAGATGATGGCAAGGCCGGCCCGGTGGTGAGTACCAGCTCTGCCCCCAAAAATTCCCTTGGGAAAGAGGTTTGGTGGTACTTTGGGATGTATCTCACCCTGGACTGAGTCACTGCTTCCTTGAGATTCCAACAGCTAAAGCTCCCCAAAGGAATTTTAATAGAGCTGTTAAAAGCTGTGCCAAGGTGCCAGGGCTGTTTCACAGGGCTGCTGCAATCTGCCTGAGCAGCTCCAGGGCTCTGGATTTCCCCCTCCTTGGAGCAGATCCACAGGTGTCCATGTGGCTCTGGGAGCTGCCCCGTGCCTGGAACACGTGAGGTGCCCCAGGATGGGGATTGTGGTCATGACAGAGAGCCCAGATGTGTTATGGATGCCCTGAGCTCAGCTGCAGGATAAATCCCACTTGCATCCAGGTTTTCCCACTTTGCAGTGCTGCTTTGCCCAGGCAAAACGTGCCTGTACAGAATCCCAGAATCCCAAAATCCCAGAATCGGGTTGGAAGGGACCTCAAAGCTCATTAGATTCTATCCCCTGCCATGGCCAGGGACACTTCCCACAGACCAGGTTGCTACAAGGCTTTAGCTTGGGTGATTTGCTGGGAGAGGTCAGGCTCTGGAATCAGCTCTGGGTGGACTTGCTGTGGAATAAACTGTAGGGGGGTTTGCTGTGGAATAAACCCCAGGGGGATTTGCTGTGGTGTAAACTCCAGGTGGACTTGCTATGGAGTAAGCTGCAGGTGGACTTGCTGTGGAATAAACTGCAGGGGGATTTGCTGTGGAATAAACTCCAGGTGAATTTTTTGTGGAATAAACCCCAGGGGGATTTGCTGTGGAGTAAACTGCAGGGAGATTTGCTGTGGAATAAACTGCAGGGAGATTTGCTGTGGAGTAAACCACAGGTGAATTTGCTGTGGAATAAAGTCCAGGTGGATTTGCTGTGGAATAAACCCCAGGGGGATTTGCTGTGGAATAAACTCCAGGGGGATTTGCTGTGGAGTTAACTGCAGGGGGATTTGCTGTGGAATAAACTCCAGGTGAATTTGTTGTGGAATAAACTGCAGGGGGATTTGCTGTGGAGTACACCCCAGGTGAATTTGCTGTGGAATAAACCCCAGGGGGATTTGCTGTGGAATAAACTCCAGGTGAATTTGTTGTGGAATGAACCCCAGGTGGATTTGCAAAGCTCAGTGCAGATGAAGTCCCTCAGGGGTGGCTGCTCAGGCCCTGCTGAGGATGGGGCTGAGCAGTGTCCCCGTCTCTGTGCCTGCAGGGCTCGCAGGGGGCTCAGGGACTGGCGGGTGCCCCCGGGCTCCGGGGCTACAGCGGGCACGAGGGAGCCAGAGGAGTGGTGGGCACCAAGGGCCAGCCAGGCCGGCAGGTAACGCCTGTGCTCCAGGGGGACAGGCAGGGACATCCCTGGGGACAACAGCCCCAGCTGTGCCCTCCTGCCTTCCCCTGGTGCCAGCCTCATGTTTTGTCCCCAAATGAACTCAGGGGACTCTCGGGCCACCGGGTGAAGCTGGAGCCACGGGGCTGAGTGGCACTGAGGTGAGCAGGCTCCTCTCTGCCCCATTCCCTTCTCCAGCTTTCCCAGCTTCCCACATCTGTGTCCCTCACAAATATCTGAATAACCCAAAGTTCTGGATTTGCCTTGAGCTCTGGTTTCCTTCTTAGGGCCTGGTGGGTGCAAAAGGGGAGCCAGGCGAGCCGGGAAAACCAGGACAAATGGTGAGGAGTGGGATGGAGCTGTGGTGGCTCTTCCTGAAAGAGCCTGTGGGATGCTGGCATCTCCTGGATGTGTAAAAGTCCAATGCAGGCACCATCTCCTGTTCCTGTTGCACCCTCGCACAGCCCCTTCTGCCCAACCTGCTCCAGAGAGAGGGAAAATCCCAAAGGGAAGATTCCAGCTTACAGCATCCTCCTGTGCACACTGGGAGGGAAGGCAGGAGGGGCATCCCTGGCACAGCGCCCTCACAGCAGGGTTTCCATCTCCTTTGGGATTTTAGGGGTCTCCTGGACAAGCTGGTCCTAAAGGACGGAAAGGCTGCAAAGGAGATAAGGTACCCCCAAAATGCACCCCTGGGGATGGCACCTGAGGGGGCTGCCCAGTGGGTGTGGGGTGGGCAAGCCTGAGCTGGTCAATCCCTTTGGGAACCATGGAGAGAAAACTGAGAATTGCCCAGGATGACCTGTTTTTCCCCACCTGGCGAACACAGGATGCTCTTGGGCTGGTTTTTGGGTGAGGGGCTGGCAGATCCTGCCTCCAGCCTGGCTCAGGTGGTACCTGGGGGGCCTCCCAAGCTCTTGGTACCCATCTCCAAAATCCCTCCATGCCTGCTGGGCTCTGTCCCCATCTCCTCCTCCCCAGTCCTGGGATGTGGCTGAGCTGTTGGAGACTCACATCCCGCCTCTCTTCTTCCCCCAGGGTGACATGGGGCAGGAAGGGGACAGAGGGGTCCCAGGAGAAGCTGGCAGACGGGTAAATGGCACTGCTGTCCCCACGAGGGTGGCAGGGAGCAGGGAGCTGCTCCTTGGAGCCCGTGCAGGCTCTGCAGGGTGCTCCCAATTTTCTGGGTGCTCGGAATCCCTGGAGAGGGGATCCTGGAGGGATGAGGGGTGTTTGGATTGGTTTGGAGCTACCTGTGAGTCTTTCATCTGTGGTCCCCAGGGCAAGCGAGGCAAGATGGGCCAGCAGCCCCCACGGGGTCCCTGGGGACACAAGGTAGGTGGCTTTGTCAGGCTGCCTTGCCCCCCTGGCAGTTTGGGGGTGTTCCCACCTGCCTGAGCCCTGGGTTAGAAAAGAATAAACCATGGTAACAGAGGGTTCGGTCCCCCCAGAGCCTCCCAGCCCAACAGGGGCATCTCCCACACCCACAGCCCCCGTGGGCTGCTCTCCCTGCCCTGCAGCATCACCCTGGGCTTCTCCCTTTGCATTTCAGGGCTACCCAGGTGACAAAGGACTTCCAGGGCCCCAGGGACCCCAGGGACCCTATGTGAGTATCAGTGTGGGGTTTTGGGGTGCTGGCTGCTCCCTGTTTGACCCCACGGTGTGACCCAGCTCTGCAGGGCCCCGAAGCAGGGATCTGTTTAAAATGAGATGAGGGAAGTTTTTAAATGGTTCATCCATCTCCTCCTGTCTTCTCCTCCCAAATTAACATCCCAGGAGGGTGAGTGCAGTCAGACAAATCACATCATCCCCAAAATGTGGTTCTGGAAGCCAAATCCTTCTTTTAGGTGTGTGTCTGATGCCAGGCAGTGCTGAGCACTGGTGGGACTGTACCCACATTCCCAGAGAGCTGTCACGGCTGGAGGGACAAACTGCAGCCAGCAAAAAGCACCCAAATACTCATTTTAATTACTAGAAATTGCTTTTTCCCTGCTTCAAATTAAAAAAAAAAGCCCAGCTTTGGCAACTTCACAAAAACCAAGCTGGATATTCTCAGCCATCCAAGGCACCTCCAGTGCATTTTTAATGGGCTTTGCTGAGGGATCCTCCTGAAAGCAAAAATCAAAGAAACAATGAGAAAATGCCTCAAAGCTTCTAAAACCGCCTGAAATGCTCAGAATCCTCAGGTGTGGGGAGGGCCCTCCTGCCGACAGGAGCAGCTCAGCTGCAGGGTGAGGCAGTTCCACGTTTCTCTCTTAGGGCATCCCGGGGCTGAAGGGCATCAAAGGAGAGCCTGGACCGAAAGGACACAAGGTAGGGGACATGTGCCAGGCACAGCAGGGACACTGGGTGGCATTTAATTTGGTGAATGCCATCCCTTATTCCCCTCTTTTTGAACCCTGATGGCTGCAGCATCTCTCTCTGGGGGCTGGCCACCATGTCCCCGAGTGCTGGAGACAGAACCTTTAGATTTTCTCCCAGATTCAGTCCTTTTGCAGCTTTTCCTCCCTCTTGGATTTGCAAGCAGCAGTGTGCAGCCTTTTAATCCCTGCTCTCAGCATTGATGCTGATACACCACGAGCTGAACCTTCCTTGTGTCATTCCTGATGGATCCTTGGCTGGAAAAACTGAGCACATCCCATCCCATCCCATCCCATCTCTGGCAATGGGGAGCTGCTCAGAGCCTTCAGGAAAACAAAATCTTGGGAATTATTAAAACTTTAAATTTATTGTCAGCTCAGTGAGCAGCTCCTGGGAGAGCAGGCAGAGGGGAGGCTGTGCTGGGATTTTTCCCCTTCTGGTTTCAGCACACCAAGAGTCTTCTTAATTCTCTCTAAGTGCTTCCTGGCAACTTCCAAAGTTTTCCTGTGAGATATTTTAGTCTGGGATGATCCTTTCAGTTTGGAGCTGATCACCCCTCCTGCTGCCCCCATCCCCAGCAATGTGGGTGCAGTGAATTCTCTGGAACCAAAAGGATGGGTGTTGGGGGGTTTTTGCTCCAGCAGTTTTGCAGCCAGCCATAGCTGGGAATTTCCCCACCCACTCTGCTGTCCTGGGGGTTCTGTCCTTCCCTGTGCCACCAAAGCTCTCCCTGACTCTCTCCTAGGGCGAAAAGGGCAGCAAGGGTGACCTGGGCCAGCAAGGGGACGATGGCTTCAAGGTGTGTGACAAGTTTTGCTCCTTCCTTCCCCCCTGGCCCCTTGTCACCCTGTGTGACATCCTCCCACATTTCCAGGGCAAGCCAGGACCCCACGGTGTCCCTGGGAGGCCAGGACCCAAGGGAAAGCAGGTAAGGGCAGGGTGGGGAGGGATGTCAGGGACTGAAATGAGTATTTGGGGTGAATTTCTTATTTTTCTATATAAAATCCACCTGGGGAAGGGGCTGGGCTGTAGAAGAGGCAGGACTGGGGGATGGTCCTGAGCTCCTCTGTTGTCCTTGCAGGGTGACACTGGCCCCCCTGGCCCACAGGGACACCCTGGAATTCCTGGGACACCGGTGAGTCCTTCCCCCTCCCGCAGGTTTGGGGTTCACTCCTCACCCCACAGGGATGCAGCTTTGATCCCACCTGCCTCCCTCTTACCCTGGTCTGGTCCTTTCCTTCCAGGGCTCGTCTGGACCCAAAGTAAGCAGTGGGGAGCAGCTGGAGTGGGATCAGCCCTGCCATGGGATCAGCCCTGCCATGGGATCCCTTCCCTCCTTCCCACTCCAGGGGGGTGCAGGGGGCCCGTGGGGGTGCAGCTCAGCACAGCAGCATCTCCCACCTTGCTTTCCTTCCCTTCTCCACCTCCTCCTTTGGCAGGGGCTGAGAGGCTTCCCGGGCCTGCCAGGCCCCCGGGGCACACCGGGCTTGCCGGTAAGCAGAGCCACAAACACCCCTCAGCCCAAAATTTGGGTCACTCACTCCCCTAAACGTGGCAGTGAGGCTCTGCCGTGCCATGCTGTCATTCCATGGGGATGTCCAGCTGCTGGCACTGGTGGAGGAGCTGCTGAGGTGCTCGTGGGCAGCAGCCAGTGCCACCAGCGCTGTCATTGTCCCCCAGGGTCTGGCTGGCCCCCCTGGTCCCAGCGGGCCTGCACTGATGCTGTCCCAGGAGGAGCTGCAGGTGAGTGACCCCTGCCCAGGAGGGAAGGGGCTGCCAGCGACGCTGTCCCATGTCCTGCTGCTTCTGAGGTCCCCTGTGCACCAGGACCAAGAAGATCCAGCTACTCCCTCTCCCCCCACTAGTCCTTGCCCCCTGCACGTGCCATCCCCTTCCTCAACACCTGATGATGTTCCTGGTGGGGGAATCTGTGGTCAGCTTGGTGATATCCCCTCCTTTTTCTTTCAGCACCTTATTTACTCCTCCAACCACCTGAATTACACCGTGGTCTGGGCTCTGCTGGACTCCCTGAGCCGGGAGCTCCAAGCCCTTGTGGAGCATCCCAATGGCACCAAAACCAACCCGGCCACCACCTGCAAGGAGCTGCTGCTGGCTCACCCCGGCTTGCCCGATGGTACCAGGGGCATGGGGGTACCATCTGGCCTGGTCTCCAGAGCCTGTGAAGGGACAGGCAGCTCTTTGAAATAAAGAGGGAATGAGGATTTTGGGGAATGAGGTCAGATGGGCTTCGTGGGCATCCCTGAAGAAACGGGCTGGCAGCCAGGCCCCCAGCTGGGGTGGGATGGCACTGTGTGGCACCCTCCCTGTGCCAAACCTGGGTGCCAGGGCTCTCCTCTCCTCCCTCCAGGGCAATACTACATCGACCCCAACCAGGGCAGCCCTCAGGACGCGCTGAGGGCCTTCTGCAACTTCACAGCTGGAGGGGAGACCTGCATCGCCCCCGTCCACAACCAGGTACAGGGTGGCTTTCATGGGGCAGCTTCAGCCCCGAGGGACCCCTCAGGGTGGGTGGGGAAAAGGACTGGTGGGGTGGAGAGGGACAGGGCGCCCAGTCCCTTGCTGTGGTGCCCCCTGCCCTGGCAGGGAGCTGTTGGAGCACTCTGCAGTGAGGCTCCTGGTCACAGTGTGTGCCAGGCTGCAGGGACACACAGGGGCTCTGTGCTGGCTCCTTGTCCTGTCAGTGCCATTATCCCCCACTGGGACAGCGTGACAATTGTCCCCGCTCCCCTCAGGTCCCCATCAAGGCTTGGCTGAGCACCTACAGCTCTGAGAACACCTTTGAGTGGTTCAGCACCCTGCCCGGGGGCTTCCTGGTGAGTGCCCAGCTGGAACAGCAAGGGGACACAGAGCTGAGCTCGGGGGTTGTAGTTTTCCCCCCCTCCACGCAGCCCCCCAAATAATCCGACCAGCTCAGAGATATGGGGCTGTGAGGGGAGGAATACCAGGAGAGGGATAGATATTCAAAAGAGGCTCTTACCCCAGGGTGTTGGAACAGCTCTCTTTATTCTGTGCTGTCCATGGGAGAGCGGGGCAAAAAAGAGGAAGAACAGGAATTCTCAGGGGTCTATATAGGTTTTGGACAGGGTGGGCTCTCCTGGCTCTCCACCAACCCCGTTGGGGCAGGAAGGAGGATCCAGGGTTATATAGATCAGAGCCACAGAGGCCCGGGGGAAGGGGGGCAAAAGAGTGCCATGAGCTCACCGTAACAGGGGGTCTCCAAGTGCCACCCCGCAGTGCTGGGACAACACTGGGGTCCCCTGCCTGTGCGCAGAGGGATGTGACACTCCTTCTGCGAGGAACAGCGGCTGAACCCTGCCAGGGTTTAGCCTTGGGGGGAGCACAGCCCCCATCCCGGATTTCCCTCCCGCTGTCCTGCAGCTGGAATACGCGGGGGCCAGCCCGGTGCAGCTGCGCTTCCTGCGCCTGCACAGCCACCGCGCCAGCCAGAAGGTCTCGTACTCCTGCAGAGCGGCCCCGGAGCGCGGCCGGCCCCAGCCCCACAAGGAAATCCGCTTCCTGGCCGACTCCCGGGAGCACAGCTATGCGGCCAGCCTGCAGGGCTGCCTGGTGAGCCTGGCCGTGCCCGGCCTTTGTGCCTGGAAACGGCTCCCAACGTTTGGAGAGCCCTTAGGAGAGTGTTTGACCCCTCACACTTGGGATGGACCCAGTGGATGAGGCTGCACACGGTGGGGTGGGATGGGGATGGAGAACATCTCCTCCTCCAGCCCAAGGAGCTTCCTGGTCTTGGGACGTGGCAAGGGATGGGGTGGGGGACATGGGGGGAGGTCACCACCTTGGAAAAGGTGGGAAAGGCTGGCATGGAGACTGGCTGCAACAAGGAGCAGCCAAGGGAGCTCTAGCTGAGGGGTTTGGTGCCACTCAGCTGTCCCTGGTGGTCATTTCAGCTGGACAACGAGTCCTCCATCAGCGACACCATCTTCCAGTTCAGCACGGAGCAGCTGTGGCTGCTGCCCCTGCGGGACCTGGCTGTCTTCCACAACGGCGACGCCTCGCACCAGTTTGGTTTCACAGTCGGACCAGTTTGCTTCAGCTGAAAGTGGTGCCACCCAAACCGAGCCAGCTGGTTCTGTCCCCACCCAAGAGCCATCCCAGTGGGGACAAGTGGATGCTGGGGGTGGCACAGGGCTCCCACCTGCTCCACAGAGCTGCCAGTTCTGAGCTCCGTGTGTGGAGCTGTGTTATGCCCCGGACTCCACTTCCTTCTGGAGTAGAGGAATATTGTTTACAAAAGTCATTTCTCTATAAATTATATATATATATTATATATGTATATATTATATATGAGAAGGTGCTGATTTAATGAGTGCTTGGGGGAGGTTTGTGTAATTATAATCACTGGGAACTGTCTGCAAAGGCAAAAAAAAAACAAGGAGCAAAACTAGTGCCAGCTTGGGAAAAGAGGAAGAAAAGGGCTTTTCTTTGCCAGGGTCAAGTGCACAAATGGTTGGAGCACTGATTGACCAGGACTGGGCTAGGAAGTGGCCCTGGAAGCCTGGGAGAGCCCAGCACCAAGTGCTGCAAAGGGGTGTAAATGTTAATCTCCCCCAAATTCTGCCTCTGTTTTGAGTCTCCACCTCACTGCGAGGGATTTGTGCAGTGTAGAGCCAGGCACTGCAGCACTGGGTGCCTTTGTGGGCATCTGCACCTGCTGGCACTTGGGGAAACTGAGGCAGGGCCAGCTCATCACACTAATGGGGATGGTTGGAATGTCCCAGCATGGAACGAACATGTGTGCTTCTAGTCACAGCTGGAAGGAAAGTTCTCCTTTGTCCTGCCTGTCTATAGAGAAAATAAAATCACAGAATCCTAAATGGTTTCGGTTGGAATAGAACATTAATCCCACCTAGTGCCACCCTGCCATGGCAGGGACACCTCCCACTGTCCCAGTGCTCCCAGCCCTGTCCAGCCTGGCCTTGGGCACTGCCAGGGATCCAGGGTGGGCACTCTGTGCCAGGGAACAATTCCCAATCTCCCATCCATCCCTGCCCTCTGGCAGTGGGAGCCATTCCCTGTGTCCTGTCCCTCCATCCCCTGTCCCCAGTCCCTCTCCAGCTCTCCTGGAGCCCCTTCAGGCCCTGGAAGGGCTCTGAGCTCTCCCTGGAGCTTTTCCTCTCCAAGCTGAACACCCCCAAAAATCTTTCCGCATTTTTGGGGTGCAAACCCCGGCTGCCACCAGCAGAAACCCCTTGTGCGCTGTAGAAAGAAGGGAAAGCGAAAGCGGGGCCGGCTGTGCCCGCCCAGGGCCGCGGAGCCCGGGCGGGGCCGGGGGAGGAGGGACCGGGTGAGGGCCCGCCCGCACTACGGGAACCGGCAGCGACAGGGCCGCGACAGGGACGGGACATCGGGGGTGGCATCGGCCTCACAGCACCGCCACATCGGGGGTGGCATCGGCCTCACAGCACCGCCACATCGGGGGTGACATCGGCCTCACAGCACCGCCACACCGGCGGGACAGCAGCGCCGAGGGACCGGCCGGGCCCCGCGCCCGCTGCCGCCGCCACCATGCAGGTGAGCCCCCGGACGGGACGGCCGCGGCACCGGGAGACCTCCCTGCAACCACGGAAATGCCCCCTGGAAACCTGTGATTCCACCCTGGAGCTACGGGAATCCCTCCTGGAAACCCTGTGGTTCCACCCTGGAGCCCCAGAAATCCCCCCCTGGAACCCCGTCATTGCACCCTGGAACCCTTTGAATCCCCATGGAACCCCGTGAATCCCCATGGCACCCCATGATTCCACCCTGGAACAACGGGAATTCCCCCTGGATCCCCGTGATTCCACCCTGGAACCCCCCCGTGATCCCACCCTGGAACCCCCCCGTGATTCCACCCTGGAACCCCCCCCCCCCCCCCCCCCCCCCCGTGATTCCACCCTGGAACCCCAGAAATCCCCTCTGGAACCCCATTATTCCACCCTGGAACCCCATAATTTCACCCTGGAACCCCGTGATTCCACCCTGGAACCCTGTCAATCCACCCTGGAACCCCGTGATTCCACCCTGGAAACCCATACTTTCACCCTGGAACCCTGTAATTCCACCCTGGAACCCTGTGAATCCACCCTGGAACCCCAGAAATCCCCCCCTGGAACCCCATGATTCCACCCTGGAACCCCGTAATTCCACCCTGGAACCCTGTCAATCCACCCTGGAATCCTGTGATTCCACCCTGGAACCCCAGAAATCCCCTCTGGAACCCCATAATTTCACCCTGGAACCCTATGATTCCACCCCGGAACCCCTTAAATATCCCTGAAACCCTGTGATCATCCCCTGTGGCCACATGAATCCCCGTCTGGAACCCCATGAATTCCCCAGATCCCCTTACATCCCCTCTGGAGCCCCAAGAATCCACTCTGGAACCCCTTAAATCTCCCTGGAAATTTCCAGGCTCAGGCTGGACAGAGCTTGGAGCAGCCTGGGATGGTGGAAGGTGTCCCTGTCCATGGCAGGAGCTGGGACAAGATGAGCTTTAGGATCCCTTCCAACCCAAACCATTCCATGGTTCTATTTGATGTTTAGGGCTCCCAGCCCCTTTGGTTTGCCCCCTGAGGCAGCAAGGCCTGGAAGGTGACACCAGTCCTGAGGAGGACCCCAGTTTGGGGACACCCCCGTGGCCAGGGTGTCCCAGTGTGGGGCTGCAGCTGGGACTGTGCAGCTTTATCCCAAAGTGTGGGATCAGACATCCCAGTCAGACTGGAGCAGCAGGCTGGGATGCAGCCTGGCACTGCTCTGTGCAGGCACCACTGGTTTTGCTAGAACAACCCCAAAACTGCAGCAGATCCAGCCCTAAGCACACTCTGATTTCCCAAGAGCTTTTTCTCCCAGTGTGAATTCCTGCGGGGGAGGAGCTGGGCGCAGCCTCACCTGGGAGCCTCAATCCCTGCTGTGTGGGCAGGTGGGGGAGGACAGGATCCCCTCCCTCTCAACAACATCCCTCAGCCTGGGACATCTCCCTGCCAGCAGTGGCTCTTCCCTCTTGGGAGAGATACAGGGGTTTTTAGGATTTTGCCCTCTTGACCTTCACCCACCAAGAAATCTCTCTGTGGCATCACTGTTGGCCCAAGGAGCATTATTTTGGTGTCACACCCATGCTGGGCACCCAAAACCATGTGGTTCCACCCCAGGCTGGGGCAGCAAAGGGATCTTCTGGATCTCTTGAACAGGCTGCCAGGGAAGGGGTGGAATCAACATCCCTGCAATTGTTCAAAGAACACAGAGAGGTGGCACCTGGGGACGGGGTTTAGTGGAGGCCTTGGCAGTGCTGGGTTAATGTTTGGATTTCATGATCTTAGATGGCTTTTCCAAAGTTAATGACTCTGATTCTGCCCATCACTTCTGTCCCCCATCCCTGAAACTGTCACCTGCTCTTTCCACCACCTGTGGGTGAAGCCTGTGAAGGAGAAATAGCTCAATTTAAAGGCTAATTATCATTAATCTGTGGTCAAAGTAGGCTTAAAAGAGTGAGCCAATTACATGTGCTAATGTGCTGTGGGTAAGGAGGGCTGAGGGCTGTAATTGGAGCCAGGCTGTGGCCTGAACACCCACGGGGTATTGGGTGGTATTTCTGGCTGAGGCTGGTCCTGCTCCTGTCAGTCAGCTCTGCTGGTGCTGGAAAAGGCAGGAAAGAGCAGCCAGACATGGATCCAAACATGGATCTGTGCAGGACGGGAGCAGCTGTGACTCCACAGACACCTCCCAGGGAGATTCACCAAAGGGAGCACGAAAAACCCAGCAAAATTCCACCTTTTGAGCAAGATGTGGCAGCTGGGTATGAGCTCTGCAGCTGATGTTACACAAGAGCAATTCCTGCTCCTCCTGTTTCAGCAGGGGGAAGGAGGAGGGGTGGTGCCTTTGCAGGTCCTGGCAGTGTTGGGATTGATGCTCCTCTGCCAGGGAGGCACCCCTGGACCTGGTCCCCATCGTTGGGTGGTCATAACTCTGGCTCTGGGTGCCTTGGTGGTTGAGTTTTTGGGTGTCCTGGCAGTGCAGGAGGTTTCTCTGCTCTGGGAGGCAGAGGGGAGCAGAGGCTCTGCCCACCAGCTTCCCCTCAGCCTCCACCTGTCCCCAGGGACCTCCCCTCCTCAAATCCCCATGGATGAAGTCCTGGATTCATCTCTCTTTGTCACAGGGGTAAACTGGCTTTTTGTCAGAGCCCAGACACAGGAGCTGCTGCTGGGGGGGAAATTGTCCTGCTGGAGATCACGGGGAGAGTTCAGCCCCGTCAGCGTGACTGTGATTGTCTGTGCCAGTTCCTCTTCCTATTTCACAACTGGGGAAAAGCTTGCACCATCTGGTGAATCCCCAGATGAGCATCCCAGGGTGGGGTGCAGGGAGCTGCTGGCAGTGTGGGCACCCACCACCCCGAGGGGCTCCTGCACTGCCCCTTCCCCGGCCTCTTTTCCAGATGACCTTCTACTTCTCGGACACGGTGGTGCTGCTCTTTGACTTCTGGAATGTCCACAGCCCCACAGGTAAGCTGCCAGCAGTGGGACATCCATCCATCCATCATCCATCCATCCATCATCCATCATCCATCCTTCATTCATCCATCCATCCATTCATCATCCATCCATCATCCATCCATCATCCGTCCATCCATCATCCATCCATCATCATCCATCATCCATCCATCCATCCATCCATCATCCGTCCATCCATCCATCATCCATCATCATCCATCATCCATCCATCCATCCATCATCCATCCATCCATCATCCATCCTCCATCCATCCATCCATCCATCATCCATCATCCAGGAGAAGTTTAGGGTGGACATTAGGAAAACTTTCCTCGTTGGAAGGGGCTGCCCAGGGCGCTGGTGGAGTCACTGTCCTTGGAGGTGTTTAAGGACTGGAGGGGCACTCAGTGCCACGGTCTGGGTGACCTGGTGCTGTTGGGTGAGGTCACAGGTTGGACTTCATGATCTCAAACGGCTTTTCCAACCTAATTCTGTGAATTCAAAAGCTAAATACACCATTTCCTGACATTTAACAGCCCTGCTGCCCAACCCCAGTGCCGGGAGCCCCGTGGATATTCCCAAACACCCCATGGTGGCCCCGCCAGCCCCTCCCGGTGCCTGGGCAGTGTTGGGTGTCTCTCCTGCAGGGATGGCGCTCTCGGTGCTGCTGATCCTGCTGCTGGCCGTGCTCTACGAGGCCGTCAAGATGGGCAAGGCCGTGCTGCTGCGGCGGGCGCTGCTGGCACTGCCCCGCAGCCTCAGCCAGGAGGCCCTGACCGAGCCCCAGGAGGGGGACAGCGACCCCGCGCAGGGCAGGTACCACGGGACCCCCTGCACCCTCCTGTGGGGTCTGTGGCCCCATGGCCAGCACAAGGGGAGCAGGGCAGGTACCACGGGACCCCCCTGCACCCTCCTTCCAGCTCAGGGATGGCTCTGTCCCTGTGGCCAGCACACAAGGGGAGCAGGGCAGGTACCACGGGACCCCCCTGCACCCTCCTGCGGGGTCTGTGACCCCATGGCCAGCACACAGGGCAGCAGGGCTGCAAGGAGGAGCTGTAGGCTGCCAGGGAAGGGCGGTGTGTACAGCCTGGGGAGGTGGCTCCAGGGACAGCCCAGCCCCTCCAGATGCTCTGGGAGATGTCCAGGGTGGTGGCTGGAGGCTCTTGTTCCCCACCAGGAGCCGTTGTGGGTGCAGGAGGGTGCTGCTGGTTTGGGGATGGGCACAAGGACCAACTCGGTCCCCACAAGCCTGGCCCTGGCAGTTCCTTCCTTTGGAGCCAAGCCCTGGATTTTTCCCCTTGAATTTAATCCCAGATCATTCCTGAGGTTGCTCTTACTGCCAGCCTTATTGATTTTGGAGCAGGATTTCCCTCTGAGCTGCCGTCTGTAGCCCCCACCCCCTCCCTGCTGCCCAAACCCCTCTCTGGCCCCCCCAGGCTCCGGGTGGGAGGCGATTCCAGCTGCCCCAGCCCCTGGGTGATGGCATTTCCCATCTCTTCCCCAGGTGGTTTTGGTTCCACGTGGGCCAGACGCTGTTCCACGTGGTGCAGGTGGTGCTGGGCTATATGGTGATGCTGGCTGTCATGTCCTACAACGCCTGGATCTTCCTGGGGGCCATCGCGGGCTCCACCCTGGGCTACTTCATGGTGTACCCGCTGCTGGGCCGGGGCTAGAGCCCCCCGGGGTGGTGGCACACGGGTCCCACCTCCTGCTCTTTGTCTGGAAAAGCTGCTGTCACTTCTGCTGGCTCTGCCTGTGTCCCCGAGCTCTGTGGGACGCAGAAGCCCAAGGACTTGCTGGGGGCCCTTGGGGCTGGCCCCGCTCTGGGGACGGGGAGCCCATGGCAGCACTGGCCTCGGCTGGTGGCTGTCCCCAGCTCTCAGGGACCTTTGTCCGGGTGGTGACAGTGGTGGGGTGCTGGCGTTTCCTCCCCCTCCTACTTTTGGAGGAGGTTCATCCTGGCTGGAACGGGATGATCCGGTGACTTGCTGGGGGAGGGGACAAGCTGGGGACCAGGACCCCTGCCCTCCTGCCCAGAGCTGCCCTGCACCAAGCCCCTCTTCACACCGTGCCTTTGGGGACACTGGGGGGTCCTGCCACCCCCACCCCGCTCCTGTGCAGCGCCTCAGGGATGGGGCTGGAGCAGCCCCTGAGCCGCTGCTGTGGCTGTGCCAGGGGGGAAATGCTGCTCCAGGTGCCTCTTGCTGCTTCCTCAGGACACCCCTTTTAATAAAACCATCCCAGCTCCGCTCCTGGTTCGTGTCACTGCTGGGTGGGCTCAGCATGTGACACCCCTGGGTCACAGTGGGACTGGGGATCCCCAGCCCTGCCCAGGGAGGCGGATCAGGAATAAGGAGAGCCTCCTCTGGCTTTAAATAAAGCTTTTCCATTTTATTAATTATTATAAGCATATCTTTAAACATTTGTATAACTTTCTTAATAAAATAATCCTGGAAGAGACAGGTTTGAAGTTCACAGAGAAAGGCACTTTGAGGGGGGCCTCCCAAGGCACTTTGGGGGCCCCCTGAGTGGGTTAGGCTGGGCACCCCCCTTCTGAGGCAGGAACGGTGGCACAGGTGGGTGTCAGTGCTCCAGGTGGCACACCCAGAGTCCTGCAGACCCCCAGCACCTCCAGGGCTTTTGGCATCACTGTGGGGGCTGCAGCACAGCAGTCCTGGCCCCACGATACACGGGGGGGTCAGCAAACCCCTGCTCTTTGCTCAGCCACCACAGCAGATGCCAAAATCTGCAAAGCTGGAGAAACCATCCATGGAAGGTGCTGAGATCTGGAGGGCAAGGGCTGGGATCTCTCCACTGCACAGCGAGCTGAGCCTGGCATTATCCCAGTCCTGCCAGGCTCAGCTGGGACATGGCATGAGTGCCACCTTCCCCCAGAGACTGAACTCTGAACTTAAAATAGCTCCTGGGGATGAGGATGGCTGGGGGTGGGCTCTGGGTGCTGTAAGCTCAGCCTGGGTGCCTGAAGCTCAGCCTGGATGCTGTGAGCCCAGTCTGGGTGCTGTGAGCCCAGCCTGGATGCTGTGAGCTCATTCTGGATGCTGTGAGCCCAGTATGGATGCTGTGAGCCCAGTATGGATGCTGTGAGCTCAGCCTGGGTGCTGTGAGCTCATTTTGGGTGCTGTGAGCCTGACCTGGGTGCTGTGAGCCCAGCCTGGGTGCTGTGAGCCCACTCTGGGCACCAGCAGCCCACGCCTGTCCCAGCGCTCTCCCCCTCAGCAGTGGCTCAAATCCCGCAGCGTTGCTGTCCCTGTTGTGTCCCTGTTTACCATCATCCCCTGCAGCTCCTGGAGCTGGCCGGGGTGGGTGGCAGTGGGCAGGCTCCCAGGAAATGCCCCAGACTGGGGCAGGGACAACCCCGGGGACAGCCAGGAGTGTCCCGCACACCCACCCTCAGCAGGGCTAGTGCCAGCCCCCCCAGCACCCCAGGCACTGGTGTGGGGGGCAGATAAAGCTCTTCAGTAAAGCATTTCCTCAGCAGGAAAGAAAATAAGGCAGAAGAAGGACAGAGCAGAGCGCAGGGGGTGCCCGTGTGGGGGCTGTGGCGCCCCACGGCAGCGGGACCCCCGTTAGGCAGTAAGGTCTCGGTGTCCCCGTCCCCTCCCTCTCCCGCAGTGCTGCTCTCCTCCCAGGGGTCCTGTCCCCCTCCCCCAGCCCCAGCATCACCGGGGCCAGTCCTTGGCGGGGGGCTGGGGCTAGAACTCAGTCTGCACCCCCTCACCGCTCTCCGTGCTGCCCCGGGGCTGCGGGGGGCCGCGCTCCCCGTGCTGGCCTGTCTCCTTGTCACCGCGCTGGTGACACGCTGCCGACGGGCTCTGCGCTCCGGGTGGCACCCTGGCCTCTGCTGGGACAGCGGCTCGGGGGCTGGCTGGTGCTGCTGTGGCGTGTGGCACGCTGGACACTGATGGGGGGTCAGCTCCGGGCACGGGGGACGCTGGCACGGATGATCTCGGTGTGACGTGTGGCACCTCAGCCCCTAATAGGACATCAGCTCTGGGCACAGGAGATGCTGGCACGGATGATCTCAGTGTGACGTGTGGCACCTCAGCCCCTGATGGGGCATCAGCTCTGGGCACAGGTGATGCTGGTCCAGGACGTTGTCTCCCAGTCCCTGATGGGACCTCAGCTCCAGGGACAGGTGACGATGCTGGTGTGGCACGCTGCCCCCCTGATGACACCTCAGCTCCAGGCACAGGCGGTGCTGGTGCAGCCCGGCGTGTCCCAGTGCCTGGTGGGATCTCAGCTCCAGGTGCTGGTGACAATGCTGGTGTGACACGTTCTCTCCCAGTGCCTGGTGGATTCTCAGCTCCAGGTGCTGGTGACATTGCTGGTGTGACACGTTCTCTCCCAGTTCCTGGTGGATTCTCAGCTCCAGGGACAGGGGACAATGCTGGTGTGACACGTTCTCTCCCAGTGCCTGGTGGATTCTCAGCTCCAGGTGCTGGTGACAATGCTGGTGTGACACGTTCTCTCCCAGTGCCTGGTGGGATCTCAGCTCCAGGGACAGGGGACGATGCTGGTGTGACACGTTCTCTCCCAGTGCCTGATGGGATCTCAGCTCCAGGTGCTGGTGATGCCACCGTGGCACAGTGCACCCCGTCTCCATCCCGGGCTGGACCTTGCAGTGTGACATCCCCTGGGGCAGCCCCTGCCAGCAGCACGCCCTCCTCGCTGGCACCGCTGCCCTCGGTGCCGTTGGTCAGCCGCTCCTGGGCCCCGGTGCCATCCCCGAGGCTCTCCTGTGCCAGCGCATCCCGGATCTCCTTCACCGCGTCTGGGGGGCTCGGGGGCACCCCAGGGTGTGCCTGCCCCGGCTCCTGTGGCTCGGGGGAGCCGGGCAGCGCCTCGGCCCCATAGGGCAGAGCCCCCTCATCGTCCTGGATGACCGACACCACCTGCTTGGCCCTGCGGCGCTTCTCAGCCGCCGGCTCGGCCTCGGGCTGCCCGCTGTACTCCTCGCTCCAGTCGATGGGCAGCCCCTCTCCCAGCAGGTGCAGGTTGGGATCGCTGTTGTGCATCACCATGCTGTCCCTGTACAGGTTGTGCTTCCGCTGCACGGCCGCCTCCTTCACAGCTGGGGACAGGCAGGGACAGGTCACGGCACCGCCGGGCTGGGGCAGCTCGCCCAGCGCTCCCCGTGGGTGCTGGGAGAGGTGCTGGAGCTGGCACGGGGGTCAGCATCCCACCCACTGCTCAGCCCTGCCAGGGGCAAGCCAGGTGGGAAGGCTGCTCCTGGGGCAGCCCCGGCACCCTGCATGGGGTCACCCCTCCTTAGAGAGTCCCCAGCACCCTGCATAGGGTCACCCCTTCTTACAGGTCCCCAGCACCCTGCATGGGGTCACCCCTTCTTACAGAGTCCCCAGCACCCTGCATGGGGTCACCCCTTCTTACAGAGTCCCCGGCACCATTCACGGGGTCACCCCTCCTTAGAGAGTCTCCAACACCCTATATGGGGTCACCCCTTCTTAGAGTCCCCAGCACCCTATATGGGGTCACCCCTTCTTACTAAGTCCCCAACACCCTATATGGGGTCACCCCTTCTTACAGAGTCCCCAACACCCTATATGGGGTCACCCCTTCTTACAGATCCCCAGCACCCTGCATGGGGTCACCCCTTCTTATAGAGTCCCCAGCACCCTATATGGGGTCACTCCTCCTTAGAGAGTCCCCAGCACCCTGCATGGGGTCACCCCTCCTTAGAGTCCCCAGCACCTTATATGGGGTCACCCATTCTTACAGGGTCCCCAGCACCCTGCACGGGGTCACCCCTCCTTAGAGAGTCCCCAGCACCCTATATGGGGTCACCCCTTCTTATAGAGTCCCCAGCACCCTATATGGGGTCACCCCTTCTTATAGAGTCCCCAGCACCCTATATGGGGTCACCCCTTCTTACAGGGTCCCCAGCACCCTATATGGGGTCACTCCACCTTGTACAGCCCCAAGCTGATCCCCTGAATGGGATCACCCCTCCTCAGAGACCCCCTAGCACCCTGCAGAGGGTCACCCCCTCCTCATACAGCCCCAGCACCCTACATGGGGTCACCCCCTGTATAAACAGCCCCCAGCATGGAGTCACCCCTCCTCGTCCAGCTCCTAGCTGGCTCTGCATGGGAACACTCCTCCTTATCCAGCCCCTGTCACAGGGTGCCCCCAAAGTCCTGCAGAGGTCACCCCCTCCTCAGACAGCCCCCAGCACCCTACACGAGGTCACCACCACCTCCTCACACAGGACCCTACCTTGCATGATGTCTTTCATCACCGACTGCAGCACCACCTCCTCGTAGGTGTTCTCCACCAGGATGAAGCTGGCAAAGTCCTCGAAGATCAGCTCCTGAAACTTGGCTAATTCCTGCCAGGGGAGAGGCAGCTCAGCCCGGCAGCTTGGGGGGAATGGATGCTCCAGCCCCTCCACGGGTGTGGACAGTCCTTCCCTGCACCCCAAACCTTCCCCTCTTACCCCCTTGCAGGTGGGTGCCAGCTTCTTCAGCAGGAAGGGGATGGTGATCTGCAGCAGGGCCTCCCTGAAGAACTTCTTCCTCACGGTGCTGCTGTCATAGTCGAATTTCTGCAGGGTGGGAGGGTGCCCCAGGTCACCCAGGGCTGTGGGCTGGCTGCCCCTGCCCACGGGCACAAACCCCTGAGATTTGTCCCCCAAGCCATTCCCACAGACCCCTCTGGCCTTACATCCCTCTCTCCAGCTGTTGCCCAGCCCAGTGTTTCTGAGCCTGGGTAGGAACCAGCTCTTCCACTGCTGGCTGCAGGACAGTTTGGGGGCCAGTCTGAACCCTGGGGGGCTTTTACAGATGTGGTCAGATGGGACCTGGCTGCTGCAGGTGATTTCCCACTTGCCTGCCCCAGCAATATCCATTAAACCCCCAAAAGACGTTTGTTGAAATGGATTTCATCACTGCTGGCCTCTTCCCTGGCCAAGGAACAAGGCCAGCAAAGGCCAGCAAAGGCCAGCAAAGGCCAGCAAAGGCCACCAAAGGCCAGCAAAGGCCTGACCCCTGCCTCACCTTGAGCACCCTCTCGAGGATGCGCTGGATGGACTTGCAGAGGTCGTCCTTGCCCTGCAGCTTGCCCAGCTCCTGGTGCAGCAGAGTCTCGAAGGTGTACACGGCATCGTCCATTTGCTGCCACCAGAGACACGTGGTCAGCGTGGGGGGCACCCAAAGGGTGGGCAGGGGGCTCTTGGGGCACTGCCACACCAAAATGAGCCTTAGCACAGAGCCCCACACTGATTTAGGGTGGAAGGGACCCTAAATTCATCCAGTGCCACCCCCTGCCATGGGCAGTGACATCTTCCACTATCCCAGTTTGTTCCAAGCACCATCTAGCGTGGCCTTGGGCACTGCCAGGGATCCAGGGGCAGCCACAGCTGCTCTGGGCACCTGTGCCAGGGAAGAATTCTTCCCCAGGATCCAGCAGGCAAAGAGCCTTCACTGTGCACAAATCCCCGACCTCCCAGCATGGCACCCACAGCCCTCGCCCCGAGGATCGAGGTGCTGGTGAGAAGGTGGCTCAGAGCTGGTGTTGCACCCTCATCCTCCCACACCCCACGCCAGCTCAGGCTGGGGCAGACCACAGGATTGGCTTGCTGGTGCCAGGGGGCTCGGTGGCAAAGGGGCAGCTGTGCCAGGATGCCCAAGCCCACCATGGGCTCCAGACCAAAGGGGCTCCATCATCCACCCTTCAAGACAGCACAGACGTCCCAGCCTGGAGCAGCCTGGGCTCCCCAAACCTCTGTTCCCAGCCCTGGGGGACAGGGGAGCACCCTGGTCCCCATCCCACCTGTCTCATGTGGATCTGGGCCCTCTGCTTGAAGACGGACGTGCTGGAGACATCGAACCGCTGCTGAAGACCCTCCAGTTTCAGCTGGTCCATCTTCTCATAGCACGACTGCATCTTCACGGGGTGGAAGGCCAGGTGGGACAGCTTCTCCATGTACTGGGGACAAAGCCAAGCTCAGCCTCTCAGGGCAGGGACATTCCACCCCACATGGGTGGAATCTTCTCAGCCTGGGGTCTCCAGTGCTGTCCACACTGGGGATGGAAGCAGGACTGGCCCTGTCACCCCTAGGCTGGCAAGGAGCACCAGCAGGTCTCACCTCCACCAGCTTCTCCAGGCCGCCCTCGTTGACGACGTTCATGTTCATGTCGGTGACCTCCTTGAAGAACACCTCCCGCGCCTCGGCGAAGCCCTGGCTCGTGGGGGTCATCAGGGCCTCCAGGATGGAGGAGATGTAGGGCTGGACGTGGTTACGGACACAGACCTCTGCCTTGGGCAGGACGAAGGCTGGGAAAGAGCAGGGTAAGGATGGTGAGGCTCCTCTGTCCTTCCAGCCCTTCACATCACATCCTAAACCCACCCCAGGGAGGAGGAGCTGCCGCTGCTCCCAAACCCCACCAGGAGTCTCCCCCTTCCACCACAACACAAGGAACTCCTGCAGAGTGCCCCTGGTCTGTCCTGAACCCACTCCTGCCCCCCTGCCATGCCAGGGAAGTGACAGCCCACCTTGTCCCTGACCCCCTGGGACAATGCCAGAGAGGACATGAACCCCCCAAGGGTGCCAGGGGCTGTGCTGCACCCCGGGAACAGCCCCCCAGGAGCTGTGGGCACACCCCACAGCATGTGGGGCACACCCACACATCCCAGGGCATCCCTGCAGGGCCCCACCTCGGATTTTGCTGGCCAGGTGCTCCTTGGAGGTGATGATCTGGTCCATGTCCGTGCGGATGGTGCTCTCCAGCTGCGGCCGCTCCTGCTCACACCCGGCCACGGCTGCGTCGTACTGCGCCTTGGCCAGCTCATAGACCATCCTATAGACAGCATCCGACACCTGGGGGCACAGGGGGGTGGTCAGAGCCCCCCACGCCTCCAGCTGCACCCCCAACCATCACCTGCAGGACCTGCTGAGCCCTCCCCAGAGCTCTGACAGGACCCTTCCCCACAGCCTGCCGGGGGTGTCCACACCAGGGACCCCCCAGCTGGGTGAGATGGAGCTCCTGCAGTGCAGAAACTGCTTCCAAGTGGTGCTGGAGGGGCAGAGAGGTGAGCGCTGCCTCCATCAGGCAACCTGCCCCAGGTAGGGCTGGGGATGCAGCAGGTCTGGGGATGCAGCAGGTCTGAGGATGCTGCATGTCCAGGAACACTGCAGGTCTGGAAATGCTGCAGGTCTGGGGATGCAGCATGTCTGGGGATGTGGCATGTCCAGGAATGCAGCAGGTCTGGAAATGCTGCAGGTCTGAGAATGCTGCAGGTCTGGGAATGCTGCAGGTCTGGGAATGCTGCAGGTCTGGGAATGTTTCATGTCCAGGAATGCAGCAGGTCTGGGAATGCTGCAGGTCTGGGAATGCTGCAAGTCTGGGAATTGTGCAGGTCTGGGGATCCTGGTGGTCCAGGGACAGTGGTGGTCCAAGCAGGAGAGCCCCAGCCCACCCTGAAATCTGTTCCCTGCCCTGTTCCCCCTCCCTGGGGTCCCAGAGCCAACCTCCTGAGCAGGATGGAGCCGCTGGCTGAGGCTTCAGCCTCCCTTTGCAGCCAAAGGCAGGATTTTGGGACTGGCAGGATGCAGAGCCCTCCCCCTCCTCCCTCCCCGGGCTTCCCAGCCACCGCCGCTCCTGGAAAAGCAGTTTGTGTGTTTGCAGCCCGCTCAAGTGGCCCATTACGAGCAGAGCATGGTGGTAATTATCGGGGTTTAAGGTTTTAACAGCAGTTCTGAAGAGCCCTCAGTGTTTCGCAAGGGTTTGGGCTGGATTTAGCCAGCGCTGCTCTAAAAATGGCTCGCTAAATTTAGCCGGGACAAGCTTGGCTCCGGGGCTGGGCTTCCTCCTGTTTGCAGGGCTGGGCAGGGGCACAGATTGGAAAATCCACTCCGGAGAAAGGACAGATTCTGGGAAGGGGCCGGGAGAAGGGGCAGCGAAGGCGGTGGGCACGGAGCCCAGAGGGGAAGGGGGAGGGCAGGCGGTGGGGACCCCCCCGGGCAGCCCCAGCCCTGTTATGAACAAAACAGCCTGGCTGGGACACTTGGCTTGGGCTAAGTACTGACACTGAAATGTTAATTAGCTAATTGCTCCTGGGAATCACCTACCTCCCCCCACCCTCACTACCATTCTAGGACTGGGATGCAAAATAATCCAGTGGAATCATGGGAGGGGGTTTTGGGGACGAAAAACACCCCTAAATTGAAAAGATGGGCACAGTGAAGGGGGCTGGATGGGTGTGCTCGTTGGGGAAAAGGGAACCACATCCCTGGTCTGTGTTTGCACCATAACCTACAGAGGACCAGAGTGGACTGGGCTGTGGGAAGCAGGAACAAAGGAACAACAATTCCTGGTGTTATCAGGAAGGAAGGAGAGGGATGGCTGCTACTGGATTTGGGCTGCAGGCTCTGCACATCCCCTCACCCTGAGGCTACCAGTGTGCCAGGAGGGAAGGAGAGAGGACGGTCTGCTGGGACTTCAGATACAGACTGCCCACCTCTGCACCTCCTTCAGGTACAGACTGCACACCTCTGTACCTCCTTCAGATACGGACTGCACACCTCTGCACCTCCAGCTACCAGCGTGCCATGGGGACTCCAGGGACAGACTCTGCATGTCTGCTCACCCTTCGGCTACGGGAGAAGCTACAACAGCAGGGACGAGCTCTGTGTTGAGCCCCCTGCCCAGCAGATCTTTTTAATCAAGAGCTGACTATTAATAAAGGCATAGACCCTGTTCATTTCAAGCCCCACACCTGGATCCAGGTCCGCTGGCGCTCCGGGGCTTTGCCCTTCAGCCGGGGGCCGATGGTGCTCCTCAGCTCGGGCAGCAGCTCCTCCATCACCAGGTTGCTGAGGACCTGCGGAGGCAGGAGGTTATTGGGGAGCCCGCTCAGCCCCACACAGCCCTGCAGCCCGGTTTGGGGGTGCGGGTCCCACCTGGGTCTCGTTGCCGCAGAGCATGTCCCAGGTGCCGTACTGCTCCTTGGACTGCCGGTACATGCGGATGGCGTCCGTGAAGGCTGGAGCCTCCACCCTGGAGTCCTCGGAGATCCCTGCCAAGGGGACACGAGTGAGCAGCAGGGAGCTGGCAATGAGGGCAGCCCTGCACCCCCAGCCCACCTTTGGGTGCTTCCCGTGCCAGCCCCCAGGGCTGGGGGACTGGGGGATCCTGTCCCAGGGCACTGGCCCTGACATGGTGGGGGCAGCAGGGACTGGGGGGCTCCTGATACATCCAGAGTGATCCCCCCCAGAGCCACCCCGAGGGCAGCGAGGCTGGGCAGGATGGGGGCTCAGTGACCCCAAAGGGTGCATGGGGACATGGGGGCTCAGTGACCCCAAAAGGTGCATGGGGACACGGGGGCTCAGTGACCCCAAAAGGTGCATGGGGACACGGGGGCTCAGTGAGCTCCAAAGGCACAGCAGGAGCAGGGGCTCAGCAGGATGGGGGCTCAGTGATCCCCAAATGGTCCACAGGCACTTGGGGGCTCAGTGACCCCCAAAAGGTGCATGGGCACCTGGGGGCTCAGTGACCCCAAAAGATGCACAGGAACTTGGGGGCTTAGTGACCCCCAAAAGGTGCATGGAGACCTGGGGGCTCATGATCCCCAAATGGTGCACGGGGACACGGGGGCTCAGTGATCCCCAAAAGGTGCATGGAGACCTGGGGGCTCAGTGACCCCGAAATGGTGCACAGGGACTTGGGGGCTCATGATCCCCAAAAGGTGCATGGGGAAATGGGGGCTCAGTGACCCCCAAAGGCCCAGCAGGGGCTCAGCAGGATGGGGGTTCAGTGACCCCCAACAGCACTCAGCACCCAGTGAGCCCCCAGCAGTGGGGTGAGCCAGCTGGGGGGCTGGAGGGAGAGGAAAGTGGCCAAGAGGCGTCAGGAGGGAGTCAGGGCCGGGCTGTCCCCACCTGAGTCACTGCAGCTCAGGTGTCACCCCCACCCTGCACTGCACCCACCAGGAGGGGCAGGGCTGGGAGCCAGAAGAAGATGGGGACAGCAGGCAGGCAGGCTGTCCCACACGTCCCATGCGTGTCCCTGCCTTGTCCCAGCCTGTCCCTGCCAGACAGGGAAACACCCCTGGGAGAGAACCCTCCACCCCAGCTCCCCTCCCCACGGCCACGGGAGGGGATCAGGGTGGGATGTGAGCCAGGGTGACCCTGCTGGGAGGCTCCAGGGGATCATCCCTGCAGTGCTGACACGTCCCACAGCACCTGGCAGGGCTGGGGACACGGCCAGGTGCCCAAGAGGGACAGCCCGGGGCACTGAGCAGATCTCTCCCAGTGCACACAGACTTTTCTAAGGTGATTACAATTAACTCCAAGCCTAAGCAGCTTTTGCTAAGGGGCAGCTTAATAATCAGGGGAGAAAACCACTGAGAAAGTAAAATCTGCTCTTTTCTCAGTCTTTGGTGGGAGCCAGAGCTGGGCTGAGCTTCCAGGGCTTGGAGCTGCTCCATCCACAGCTCCTGGGAGCTCAGATCCCCTCCCAGGTGGGACAATTCTCACCTTCTGTCCCTGCCAGGGGCAGGATTTGCCTACCAAGAGCCTTCCCAAGGTCACTCACTCCAGGCTGAGCCTGGGGACATCCCTGAGTCTGTCCCCAGCCCTGTGTCCTTCCAGGCTGGGCTGGTGCCAGAAGCTCCCGTGCCACTTCCCAGGGCAATTTTAATGAGTTTCCTTCATTAATGTGTGGTTTAGGGCCTGGAGGGACAGGACACAGGGAATGGCTCCCAGTGCCAGAGGGCAGGGATGGATGGGATATGGGGAATTGGGAATTGTTCCCTGGCAGGGTGGGCAGGCCCTGGCACAGAGTGCCCAGAGCAGCTGTGGCTGCCCCTGGATCCCTGGCAGTGCCCAAGGCCAGGCTGGATGGGACTTGGAGCAGCCTGGGACAGTGAGAGGTGTCCCTGCCATGGCAGGGGTGGCACTGGGTGGGATTTAAGATCCCTTTTAACTTGAACCACCCTACAAGGGGCAGGAACCCTCAGGGAGGGCACTGCCCAGCCCCAGGTGACACCAGGCAGGACAAGGGACAGTTTTGGAGCAGCCAGGGGCTGCAGGGACACCAATCTTACTGACAGTGTGAGGAACAGAGCTGCACATCCCCAGCCCTTGCAGAGGAGCTGCTGTTACACAAACACGGTCTGAGACAGGGAGCTGAACATTCCCACACCAATCACAACCAGAGGCAGAAACAGAGCCTCTAATTTAGGGGAAAAAAAAACCACCAACAACCTAAAGTGCTTTCCAACAACAAAAGAGCCTTCATGGAATATGAAACAGGATCCTGGAGCTCCCAGGGGCAGAGAGGGGCAGGAAGAACAATGTCACAGACAAATCCAGCTGGAGGAATGCACAGAGCCCTCCTTGGCCACTGCCTGCTTGGGAAGGTTTTCCATCACATGCTGAGGAGAAGGAGAGGGAGGAGAGGATTTTCTGGCATTTTCAGCCATTTTCATGCCTGGCAGAGGGGGTGGTGGAGAGGCTCACACCTCCCCTGTGTTCCACAGCAGCACCCAGCAGGTGGGAGGGGAACTAGAGATGAAAATTGTGGGTTTGTTAGCAGGAGATCAATTCCTCTTTTATCCAGAGCTGGGTTGCTCACAGCTGCTGGTCCAGCCTGCACAGGGGGTGCTGAGCTCACCCAGCAGTGCTCCTCAGGGGGATGGGGGGTCCCAGCACCCAGCCCCACACAGAGGAGGGGGCACATTCAGCCCAAGGAGCTCCGAGACCCCCAGCACAAAATAAAAATAAAAAGAGCAGTTTTTCAGGAGATTTAATCCAACGTGGGGGGATGGAAACCCTTGGTGAAACCCAGGCTCCAAATCCCACCCTGTTACAGCAGCTCTGGCAAAATTGAGGCAAAATTGAGGCTACCCAGAGTTCCCAGGAATGAAAGAAGCATTTAGAAATTGGGCAGCATCTAAAATGCCCACTAAAACACCTGATTCTGAGCAGGTTTCAGCTCTGGCACCGCCTTCCTCAGGAAATTTCTCACCATCCCAAGCACAGCCAGGACTTGAAGCTCAGCCCAGGAGTGCCCAGGCCACAGCCAAGCAGGAAAATCGTGTTTTCCTGCCAGAGTATCACTGATGTGGGAGGCAGGTCCTGCCTCCACCCAGCTGCATGGCCCTGCACCCACAGCCCTGCACCCCCTGCCCACACCCCCAGCAGCCCTCAGGGGGAGGTTTGGGGTTTGGGGACTTTAATTAACGAATATTTTCTCCCTCAGGGTGGGAAATAGACATCAGGGCAGCTCTGCAGCCAGGCTCTGTGCTGACCCCAGGAAACACTTCCACCTGGGCAGAGGATGGAGCTGGGCACAGGGATGCTCCAGGGAGCTGGGGGTGGTGCTGGCATTGATGAGATGCTCAGTCATGGAATCCCACACTGGTTTGGGTTGGAGGGGACCTTCAAATCATCCTGTTCCACCCCCTGCTGTGGGCAGGGGCATGTCCCACTGTCACAAGGTGCTTCCAGCCTGGCCTTGGGCACTGCCAGGGATCCAGGGGCAGCTGTGCCAGGGCCTGCTCACCCTCCCAGGGAACAATTCCTGCCCAATATCCCATCCAGCCCTGCCCTCTGGCAGTGGGAGCCATTCCCTGTGTCCTGTCCCTCCATCCCTTGTCCAAAATCCCTCTCCAGCTCTCCTGGAGCCCCTCTAGGCACTGGAAGGATCTCCCCAGACCCTTCCCCTCTCCAAAGTTCCTCAAGAACTCGCACCCCTCTCCTCCCCATGAGCTCCAGCCCAGTCCCTGTGCCCCCAGAGGCTGTCAGGGTGGCTCTGTGGGGCAGGAGGTCCCCGCTGTGTCCCCAGCTGTCACTCACCGTTGTTGCAGTGCCGCACACAGTCCTGGAACACCGCCCGCCACTTCTCCTGCTCCTTGCCCGTCATCACACAGAAATAATAGTGCCGGGCATAGGGGTGCCACAGGATCAGCGGGAAATCCGTGGGGCACTTCAGGATGGGCGAGTGCCCCGATTTGGGGGTCACACCTGAGGGAAAGCGAGCGTGGTTTGAGGGGAGATGCAGGTTGGGGGTGTCCAGCAGGGACACACTGAGCCTTCAGCTCCATCTCAGGGCCTTTGCTGGGAGTTGTGCCAGAAAACAATGCAAAAAGAGCCTCATTTTGCCCAAAAGGAGATGAGAATGAAAATTGAAAGGTAAAATTAAAAGTAATTAAAAATCAAAAATCATGTGGTTCTCATGGAGACATGAACACCTTTTCCTTCCTATTTTTCTTCTTATTATTTTCTTTCCTATTTTCCCATTTTCTTATTTTTCTTCTTTTCCTCCTTCCTTTTCCTCCTTCATTTTCCCTTCCCTTCCCTTCCCTTCCCTTCCCTTCCCTTCCCTTCCCTTCCCTTCCCTTCCCTTCCCTTCCCTTCCCTTCCCTTCCCTTCCCTTCCCTTCCCTTCCCTTCCCTTCCCTTCCCTTCCCTTCCCTTCCCTTCCCTTCCCTTCCCTTCCCTTCCCTTCCCTTCCCTTCCCTTCCCTTCCCTTCCCTTCCCTTCTCGAGAAGGTCCTAAGGAATCCTACACCCCAAAAATCATCCTTTTTTGAATGTCCCTAGGAATCCTACACCCCAAAATCACTCTTTTCTGAAGGTCCTTAGGGATGCTACGTCCTAAAACTACCCCTTCCAGAAGGTCTTTAAGAATGCTACACCCCAAACCCCCCTTTTCTAGAAGGTTCCCAGGGATATAACACCACAAAAATCACCCTTTTCTGAAGGCCCTCAAGGATGCTACACCCCAAACTCACCTTTTCCAGAGGGTCTTTAAGGATGCTACACCCCAAACCTTTTCCAGAAGGTCCTCAGGGATGCTACACCCCAAACCTACCCCTTCTAGAAGATCTTTAAGGACCCCACACCCCAAACCCACCTTTTCTAGAAAGTCCTCAGGGATGCTACACCCCAAACCACCTTTCCAGTAGGTTCTCAGAGATGCTACACCCCAAACCTGCCCCTTCCAGAAGGTCTTTAAGGATGGCACACCTCAAACCTTTTCTAGAAGGTCCTCAGGGATGCTACACCCCAAACTCTCCCTCTTCTGAAGGTTCCCAAGGATAGAACACCCCACAATCACCCTTTTCTAGAAGGCCCTCAGGGATCACACCCCCAAACCCACCCAAAGGTCGCCAAGGGCAGCACGAGGGCTCTCACCTGGCAGGCTGTGGTTGACCAGCTCCAGGTACTGCTCCACGGAGGTGAGGACCTTGTAGCCGGCGCTGTTGACCAACACTCGGGGTGGCAGCTCCCGTTCATAGGCCTGAGCAGGAGAAATGGTCATGGATGGGCTGTCCCTGGGGAATGACCCCTCTGGAGATGGGTGTGTTGTGAACAAACAGCCTGGCTGGGACACTGGGCTGGAACTAAGTACTGACACTGAAATGTTAATTAGCTAATTGCTCCTGGGAATCACCTACCGCCCCACCCTCACTACCATTCTAGGACTGGGATGCAAAATAGGGAGACCAGTGGAATCATGGGAGGGGGTTTTGGGGATGAAAACACCCCTAAATAGGGGGCTGGGCACAGTGGAGGGGCTGGATGGGTGCGCTGGCTGGGGAAAAGGGAACCACATCCCTGGACTGTGTCTGACCTGTCACCAGAGCCTGCAGAGGACTGGACTGGGCTGTGGGAAGCAGGAGCAAAGGAACAACAATTCCTGGTGCTACCAGGAGGGAAGGAGAGGGATGGCTGCTGCTGGACTTGGGCAGCAGGCTCTGCACATCCCCTCACCCTGCGGCCACCAGTGTGCCGGTAGGGAAGGAGAGAGGACGGTCTGCTGGGACTTCAGATACGGACTGCACACCTCTGCACCTCCTTCAGGTACAGACTGCACATCTCTGCACCTCCTTCAGATACAGACTGCACACCTCTGCCTTCTCCCCCTTCGGCTACCAGGAAAGCTCCAACAGCAGGGGTGAGTTCTGTGTCGAGCCCCCTGCCCAGCTGATCTTTTTAATAAAGAGCTGAACATTAATAAAGGCATAGGCCCTGTTCATTTCAGGTGGAAGGGGGGTGGTCCTCACCAGTTTGTTCTCGTAGAGCACCAGCCCGTAGTTGTGTGGCACCACGCAGAAGCGGTTCCTCCACTTCTTGTTCTCCTCGATGTACTGGAAGATATTGCCCGAGTAGATGACGTGGTCCTCCAATGGAACCTGCGGGGAAGGGACAGGCACAGGGGATCAGGAGGGGACAGCTCTGCCCTGGGGAATTCAGTGAGGTCCAGCCATGGTGGCTTGGGTGGGTGTTTCTTCTCTATGGCCATGCTGAGGGTCTCCACTGCACGGCAGTGCAAATTTTGGTGCCTGAATTGGTGCATTTGGGCGATGCTTTGAGGGGCACCAAAGGCACTGCCCCAGAAAATCTCTGAGGGGTGGCTCATCCAGCATGTGGTGACACCTCTGGTGACACCTCTGCCCCTGTGTCTTGGCTTGTAAGATAAGCATGTATTCTTTTTACCATCTGTTGGAGGTTGGGCAGTTTTCTTATCTCTCCCAAGAACAATGTCTCCCTCCGGGGAGAATCTTCTGTTAATCGCCATTGAATGACTCCCTGCATGACTGGTAAAGTTCCATCATCCCATGGTGAGATGCTCCACCCAGAGGGAGGAGCCAAGCAGCCCTACCTGCATAAAATCAGCATTTTTTGAGATACCAGAGCAGCCCCTTTGCTGAATTCCCAGAGGAGCAGCTTCTTCTCTGCTGGATCCCCAGAGGAAGACCAGGCCCAACTACTCCATCACCAGACCTTCAGAGCAAACTCCACCCTTCTACAGATCCCCACTCCAGCAGCATTTCATCTGCCACTGCAGGAGGAGCAGCCACCATTTCACTGGACTATTACCAACACCCTGACTCCTCAGGGTGTCAGGGTTCTGACTCCATCACTAGTTTTGTTTGTACTAATTAAATATTATTTTATTTAGTTGTTTGGTTTTTTTTCCTAGTAAAGAACTGTTATTCCCATTCCCATATCTTTACCTGGGGACCTTTTAATTTTGAAATTGTGGTAATTTGGAGGGAGGGGGTTTACCTTTTCCATTTCACAGGAGGCTTTTGCCTTCCTTCACAGACTCCTGTCTTTTCAAACCAAGACACCCTGGCATCTCCTCCTGGGACACACCGAGCTCAGCTGAGCCCTTCCAGCCTCCCAGGGTGATGGAAGGTTGGAGCAGAGCTCTCCAGCAGCTCTTCCCAGCTGCTGCAATTCGGGTGTGAGCCACTGCTGCCAGAAGGTCCTGCCAGGGCATCTGCAGGTGGCAGGAACCAAACCCTTCCCAGCAGGGGCTCCTGGTGGGACCGGGCAGAGGAAAAGCACCAAGTCACCCCACAGAGCCCAGCACCAGATGATGCTCAGATGTTCTGGATTTCACTGGGACCAGTGACAGCCTTTTTAAACTAAAGGAGATTTTGAGTGGATTTTGGGCAGGAATTTTTCCCTGGGAGGAACAACACAGGGTGCCCAGAGCAGCTGTGGCTGCCCCTGGATCCCTGGCAGTGCCCAAGGCCAGGCTGGAGCAGCTTGGGACAGTGGGAGGTGTCCCTGCATGGCAGAGATGGCACTGGATGGTTTTAAGGTCCCTTCCATGATTCCATGGCAGGATTCCATGGCAGGAACAAGCCAAGGCCACCCCGTGTCCCCCCAGCTGTGCAGCCCCTCCCCAGCTCTGCAGCACCTTTTGACCAGCAGCGTTTCCACCATCCCAAACACAGCCTGCCTGAGGAGCCAGCAGTTTGTCCCAGGAATTTTGATGATCCCAGGAACATAAACAAGAGCTGAGAGCTCTTGTGAGGGCTGGAGCGTGCAGCAGCCGCCTCTCCTGCCATGGCCACCCACCCTCCACCATGGTGGCCACCAGGAGGGACCAGCTAGGGCTTGGATCCCAGCCTGCCCCAGCAGCAGGACCCTTCTGGAGGAACTTTTCCCACTCTTCTCCTGGCTCACAGGAACCTCTCTGCCTTCCCCAAGCCCTGACCACACACCCCCGTGGGCTGGGGGAGGTCTGACAGCAGCTTGGCTGCTCCTCACTCTCCTCACTGCTTCCCAAAGCCCTTGGAAGAGGGAGAAGAAAGCCCAAAGTGTGGCCTGCAGGGCTGGGGGCCAGCAGGAGGAGTGAGAACCCAAACCCCACGGCCAGCAGCAGGGATGGGGACAGGAGGGACGTGCCAGCCCTGGGGAGTCCCCAGCAGGGGAATGAGCCCCCCAAACTGGCTCCAAGGCCTCTGCCCAGGGCAGAGCAGCTGCTGATGGAACAGAACCCAGGCTGAGCCTGGCATGGCTCTGGGCACCCTGCAGAGCCCCAGCACAGCTGTCCCCTCCCCACACACCCTCCCCAGCCCAGGGAGGCACCCAGGGGCTCCTCCCAGCTCCAGGAAATATTTGGGACAGGCAGGTGTGTGCCAAACGGTGGGGCTGGGCAGGGAGGGGCCGGGGAGCCCCTGGGTGCCCAATCCCTGCCACAGGGACAGGGACAGAGGATGGCAGGGATGAGTTTGTAGGATTGTTGGAGAGACCAAAGGCTGATGTGTTTATTCCATATTCTCACTGCTGTTGTATCTTGCTGGTGTTTCAGGTGCCTGAATCATCCTTCACACCCCGTTCCTGCCGTCCCCCTCTGCCCAGGAGGGCCACCAGTGTCACCCCTGGTGTCACTGCTCTGAGCTCACAATAAAAGGGGGATAAACAAACAACATTTAAAAATTCCAAGTGCCACATCCCAGCTGAGGCCGGGCAGGATGACACCCTCCATCCCTGTGCCATCCACAACTTTCTGGGGCATGTTTGGGGGGCACAAAATGCAGCTGGGGATAGCCATCCCTCACTGTTGTGGTGTCTGGAGTATTGGGACATCCCAGTGGCTCTGCCAGGACTCTGAGAGGGGCTGGGCAGCACATGGGACATCCCAGTGGCACTGCCAGGACCCTGGGAAGGGCTGGGCAGCACATGGGACATCTCAGTGGCTCTGCCAGGACCCTGGGAGGGGCTGGGCAGCACATGGGACATCCCAGTGGCACTGTCAGGACCTTGGGACAGGCTGGGCAGCACATGGGACATCCCAGTGGCACTGCCAGGACCCTGGGAAGGGCTGGGCAGCAGACAGGACACTGAGCAGGAGGAATTCCTATTTCTACACGGGGTTTTTCCAAGCTTTGCAGCGTCCCTGACCTCCCGACCTCGCTGCTGTCCCTCAGACATTCCTGGGCTGCTTGCAGGAGCTTTTGGATGAAGCAACCAACCTGGGGATGGAGGCACCTCCCAGGGGGGCTGAAGGCATGCCAGGAACCCAAGGGTGCTGAGGACACCCAGGAACCTCCACTCCTTTGTTTTTTCTGGCACACCCAGCGCCCAGGCAGGTCCCCAAGGAGATGGGGCACGTCCTGTGCCTGGGCAAAGTGTCACCTCCGTGGGTGGGTCGGGGACACGGCCTCTGTGAGTGCCCAGGGCTTGAGGATGAGCTCAGGGAGGTATTTCCCAGATTCTTGGCCAGAGCTGTTCATTTCAGAGCCCTTCCAAGCCCCAGACAAAAGCTGAAGCCCGTGGCCATGGGCAATCACATCTCTCAAGGACAGCAGCTCCCCAACCTGGCCAGGCAGGACCCCAAGAAAAGCATCCCAGGGAGGGCCCCAAGCCTTGTCAGCTTGTGAGCAGCCCCAGCTGAGGTGCATCTGCCTGAGGAGGAGGAGGGAAAGAGGAAGAAAGAGGGAAAGAGGATCCTGTGGGCAGCATCCCCGCAGGAGCCACAGCACCAACCCCACCCCTTTAGGCAGGCAGGGCACACGTGGTGCTGCAGTGGCACTCAGAAACACCTCTGGGCTCACCTGCCAGGGCTTTCCTGTTCCTCCCAAGGGATTTGCCCAGGTGGGAGCAGCACTCACACCCAGGAGCAGCAGGACACTGCCTGGCACGTACGTCTGCTCAGACAGCCCCAGGCAGCCTTACCCTGCTGTGTGCTCCTTCCACGGGCTGGAAAAGCCATCCCAGGGAGCCCTGGAGTGCACAGGGCCCCAGGGACAGGCTGGAGCAGGAGCCCCACAGCCAGCAGCAGGGATGGGGACAGGAGGGATGTCACAGTGTGCTTGGGATATGCTTTTCCCAATGTCCAGGGACCCTTGTGACTCTGATCAGATAACAGTGGTCCCTTCCTTCTGGCAGAGAGCCAGAACACCCTCCCTGTCCAGAGCCTGGATAAGGCCATGACCCCTCCTGCTCATTCTCTTTCCCCCCTCATCCCATGGAATAAAGAATCTGGACAACCGGCATTAGAGCCTGTTTTAAATCTTTGCCCATCTCCTACCATTCCTCCCCTCAGGGCCTCATATATCTAGGCTAGCCTAATAATTCAGGGGCTGAGAGAGGTAGGAGCATCAGAGGGATGTCCTCTGGCAGGGGAATGAGCCCCCCAAAGTGTCTCCAGAAGCAGTCCCGGGGCTCTGGGAGGACGGGGATCGAGGATGGAGCCCTTACCTTGCGGTGCAGCAGCTGGGCCTGCGGGCCCCCCGCGCCCTCGATCTCATAGCGGACACTGTTGAACAGAGCGACTCCAAACTGCTCCTTGTAGCACCGGCAGAACTCGCCCAGCACCTTCCCCGTCTTCTCTGCAACACAACAGCAGAGGCAGGCACAACACAACGTCAGGCACGGGCTGGGTTTGGGGTCTGAACCCCCAGAGCCCACCCAGACCCCTCCCCAGTCACCCTCCTGCCCGCTGGAACAGCCCCTGCTGCCTCCCACCCTCCCTGCCCAGCCCAGGGCCTGATTCAGGGTCAGCATGATCTCTTTTTTTTTGGCCTTTCACATTAATTTCATGGATTCCTCTCCCCAGCAGGAAATTCCTGACATTGAGCTGATTCCGGCGCTGCTGCCGGGGCTTCCTGTGCCTTGTGCAGCTCCTGGCCCTGCTCTGGCCCCCTCAGCCGGGGGCAGCCCCCCATTCCCCAGCCCGAACATCACTGACACCCCCCGACCCCGCTGTGCCCCCACAGGGCCACCCCACAAAGGGACTCCCAGCCTGTGCTGCAGCAGGGCTGGGATCGGTGTTGGGGTGAGGGCAAAGGACAGCCTGGACCCCCACACTCACTCATGTGAGGCAGAGACCCCCACCAGCACCCCAAACTCCAATCTGGGATGAGCCCAAGGTGCTGGGAGAGCCTGAACTGCAAGGTGTCCCCTGCACCCCGCACTGGAGGGGATCCCCTCCATCCCACAGGCAGCCCCTTCCCCAGCAGCCCTTTGATGCAGGGGGTGGGGGCACACTGCAAACCCACTCCCAGCAGTGGGGACGGGGCTTTGCCAGCCCTAATGTGGCCAGAAGAGCCCCTTGGGCACCCTGACCCACCCAGCACCCTCCCCACACCCGCCCCAGACCCCACACAGGGGTCCCACACCAAAACCCAAGGTTGGAGAAACAACTCCCCCACCCCGAGCTGCTTTTGGCACACAGAGCCTCGACTTTGAACTCCCCAGTCAACTTTGCCCCAGAGCCTGTGAAAAATGAAGAATTTGAGTCTCCTCCAACAATTCCTGACAGCTCAGGCTTTGCCAGAGTGCTGGCGATGGTGTGGGGAGGAGGATCCTGGCTCTGCATCCCAGAGCTGGAGCCAGCACGATGCTGGGGGCACAAACCCAGACAAAACAGCCCCCACGCCGGCTTGGCACAGCCTGGCAGCAGCCAAAACCTCCAGCAGGAGCCAAAATCTCCAACAGTGGCCAAAATCCCCAGCAGAAGCCAGCCTGGAGCTGTGCTGGCAGCCAAGGCAGCACAAGGAGCAGCTTTGCTGCAGGGTGCTGCAAATCCCCACGGGATGAGCAGCTCCAGAGGAAAATGCTGCCTGAAGAGAGATAAACCCATCCCTGAGGAGATGCCAGCACTGCCAGGCATGGTAGCAAACCACACAGGGCAAAACCCCCCAAAACTGAATAAATTCACAGCAAAGGATGGGATGCCCCAGCTCATCCCAGCACAGAATTGCTCAGGCTGGATTTTGGCCTCTCCTCCTGGCCTCCACGCTGCACCTCTGTTGCAATTCCTGCCCAAGCTGTGGGATTCTGTCCAGGGCTCTGGGCAGCCAAGCAGCCAGCTGAGATTTAAAAGGATGTTTTGAGGTTTCATTTCCTTTCAGTCCATGGGAAAAAAGGAGCCCCCAGTCCCCGGGCAGGCGAGACAGCTTAGTCACTCATTCTTCCCTGATTAACAGCAGGGCCAATTAGGAGGGTTGAAGTAAATGGAAAAGCAAAAGTCAATAATTTGCAGAGGTTGGAACAAGACTTGCAGTCAAACATCCGAGGTGACTAAATCTGCCCAGGCTCGGCAGGACTGTCCGGGGTGCTGGGGGGGTGCTGGGGGGGTGCTGCTCCCTGCCTGGTAGCCCTGGTGGCAATTCCAGGGGAGCAGGAGGGACAGGGACCTCTGGGGATCAGGAGTGACATAAGAGTGGATGCTAGAGGGGGGCTGTGCCTGAGCAGAGGGTGCCCTGACCCCTCACATCCGGACACCCTCCAGGGCTGATGTGTCACCCTGAGGAACTGCCTCAGCCGCCCCCGGCTCCTCCATCAGGCTGAGCAAAGCCTGGGGGCTGTGCAGAGCCTTCCCTGCCAGCACAATGGAGCACTGAGGGGTGCAGAGAGCACTGAGGGCTGCAGGGAGCACTGAGGGGTACAGAGAGCACTGAGGGGTGCAGAGAGCACTGAGGGTTACATGGAGCACTGAGGGGTGCAGGGAGCACTGAGGGGTGCAGGGAGCACTGAGGGGTACATGGAACACTGAGGGGTGCAGAGATCACTGAGGGGTACAGAGAACACTGAGGGGTGCAGGGAACACTGAGGGGTACAGGGAGCACTGAGGGGTACATGGAACACTGAGGGGTACAGGGAGCATTGAGGGGTACAGGGAGCACTGAGGGGTGCAGGGAGCACTGAGGGGTACAGGGAGCACTGAGGGGTACAGGGAACATTGAGGGGTACAGAGAGCATTGAGGGGTACAGGGAGCACTGAGGGGTGCAGAGAACACTGAGGGGTGCAGAGAACACTGAGGGGTACAGAGAGCACTGAGGGGTACAGAGAGCACTGAGGGGTACAGGGAGCACTGAGGGGTACAGGGAGCACTGAGGGGTACAGGGAGCACTGAGGGGTACAGGGAACATTGAGGGGTACAGAGAGCATTGAGGGGTACAGGGAGCACTGAGGGGTGCAGAGAACACTGAGGGGTGCAGAGAACACTGAGGGGTACAGAGAGCACTGAGGGGTACAGAGAGCACTGAGGGGTACAGGGAGCACTGAGGGGTACAGGGAGCACTGAGGGGTACAGGGAGCACTGAGGGGTACAGGGAGCACTGAGGGGTACAGGGAACACTGAGGGCTCCATCTCCACCGCCAAAGCCACCCACCAGTGTCTGTCCCTCCACCAGCAGCTTTGCTGGAGGGGTCTGGGCACAGGGGACACAGCCCCCTAGATTGTCCTCAGCCCCCTCTGTCATGGCAGAGGAGGGAAGGGACACCCTGGGTGTGGGCTCAGACACCCACAAAGCCCTTTGGCAAACAGGAGCACCCACAGGCACCTCCCAGGGATGGGTGTCCCCATCCAGCCACCCCCAGCGCTTTCCCAATGCTTGCTCTGGGACCGGCACCCACACCCTCCCCTGCTGGAATTTGTGGTATTGATGATTTGGAGATTGTAGAAAGGCTTTGTCTTTTTGCTTTGTTGTTAAAGAAGAAGTTATAATTTGTTTGTGTTGGTTTTTAAGGTTGTTTATTCTTGCTTATTTATAACATGTTTTGCTGCCTCACTGCAGGTTTGTCTTGCAGGGCAGCGTGTGGGGCTCTGCCCTCAGTGGGATGTTACAAACATTATATACCAGAAACTACCTGTGCTGGATTTACAATAATGTGTTAATATTTATTATTTACGTTGAATAGTGTGACCTTAGCCTAAACTAACAGAAAAATGTCAATATTACAGTGAAACATGGAGGGCATGAAGAAGAAGGACAAGACACACTTAATTTTTTTTATTTTGTTCTTTTTGAACCTCTAATTTAGAATCCTAAAATTTACTTTTGCACCCGTGCCACACTTAATTATTACTTATATCAAACACTGAGAGCTTGTAATTCATCCTGTAAGATTGAAAACTCTTTTCCATGGACAGAGATCACAGCCAGTGTCTCTGGGGGCTCTGTCCAGGGGGGTTCCTGACCCCTGCCAGGGTTCTAGGCTTTCTAGGGCATCCAGAGGGAAGCTCTGGATTCCCACCCTGCCACCACCCCGTCCTGGCACACCCAGAGGGGCGGCTGGGCTGGCACAGGCCCTGGCACGTCCCGCTGGCTGCTGGCAGGGGAAGGCACTGTGGGGTTCCCAGAGCAGCGGCAGCAGGAACACCCGGCTGGCAGATCCCTGTGTCAGCACCTCTGGTGACAGAGCTGCTCTGTCCCCGGCCCCCAGCTCCCTCCTGCCTCTCCGTGACTCAGACACGCCTGGTGGCTCCAGCAGGAGGGACCTGAAGGGGCTGCACAGCCCACAGGGCACAGAGGGGGCTCTGGGCACCCAAACCCCGGCCTGGGATGGGATGCTGGCAGCCAGGACAGTGCCCAGCCAGGACAGGGCTCAGCCAGGTTACAGCAGCTCCCAGCCACGCTCCTGAGGGTCCCCCAGGCCCCCAGACCGTGCTGGCATCACCAGCCTGTGCTGTGGGCACAGCAGGGCACAGGGACGGGCAGGGCAGCACAGGTGTGTCCACAGGTGAGCCCCAGGCTCCTGTGGCCAAAACCAGCTGGGACAGGAGGCTCCTCTCCTGCCCAGCCCCCTGACCCACCGGGAGTGCCACCAGAGCTGTCACCCAGCCCAGGTGACAGGCAGGGCACAGCCCTGGAGCAGTCGGTGCCCCAAGGGCTCAGAGGTCACGGCCAGGGCAGCCCTGGCTGGCTCCTGGTCCCTCTGAGCCAGGGCAGGAGGTGCATTTTGCCTTCAGGATTCCAAAGGCAAACTGTCCAAGCTGGTCCAGCAGCCTGGGCTGGCTGTGTCCTGCCCTTGGAAGCATCTCTAGCCCCATAATCAGCCCCACACACGGAATCACGGATTGCTGTGGGCTGGAAGGGACCTTATATGTCATCTCATCCCACCCCTGCCATGGCAGGGACACCTCCCACTGTCCAGGCTGCTCCAAGATCCATCCAAACTGACCTTGGGCACTGCCAGGGATCCAGGGGCAGCCACAGCTGCTCTGGGCACCTGTGCCAGGGCCTGCCCACCCTCTGTGTCAGACTGAAGCCATTCCCTGTGTCCTCCATCCCCTGTCCCCAGTCCCTCTCCAGCTCTCCTGGAGCCCCTTCAGGCCCTGGAAGGGCTCTGAGCTCTCCCTGGAGCTTCTCCTGTCCAGGTGAGCACCCCCAGCTCTCCCAGCCTGACTCCAGCCCTGGAGCAGCTCCGTGGCCCCTCTGGACTCTGTCCATCACTGACACACGTCCAGCTCTGATCCCAACCTCCCAGCAGAGCAGAGCAGAGCAGAGCAGAGCAGAGCAGAGCAGAGCAGAGCCAGCCCCAGCTCTGGGAGAGGGGGAGAAGCCCCCCATGAGCTGCAGCCCTGATCCCCTGCAGCCCAGC